CATAAAGGTCAAGCTGGCGATCTCCTATAAAAAAGTTTTTCCTACATTAAATTCTGTTGCCATAGTGCAACTGAACATTAGCCTTAGTTCCGGAGCCATTCACAATTTGTTTGCCCCATAAACCATAGACTCTACGCCTGCAGGCCTAAAGGCTACATTAATTTTCCACATATGGTTGCAGAGTAAGCAACTATGGTAATTCACTCAAAAAGCAACAATTAGAGACAAGCTTTCATGTAGTGTTGTTGAGGGATTACTTTCATGGGCTTGGGAACATAGTTAAGGAGAAAATTACTAAACACATGAATTGACATTAAGAGTTACCTAATATAATGGTCAAAACAAATCAAAAGATATTAAAACTAACTTCTAATGGTCGAGCAAACCTTGGGAGGCATTTAATTAACCAAAGCCAGGAAGAGGAAGTTGCCATTACCTCAAGTGAAGGATTACAAGATGATGTAGCATCAGTAATCTTTTTGTAAGAATAAATATAAGCCCCATATATAAGGAAGAATGTCATGATGAACAGGCCAGCAACAAGACAATCTATGCACTTTTTAAGCAATTCAGTATGTCTTGTGTCTTCTAGTTGGTTCTTGAACTTTTCAGCTTTAAAGGATGCCTTTGATATACCCATTGCTAATTTTGATCTCTCCAGATGGTTGGAGTCCATGTTTAGAGCTAGCTGTCTCTCTTTCAACTTCAACTTTTCCATTGTAAGACCAAGCTCTAATGTCTTGAGGTCGTTAGAACGAACTTGCTCTATAACAGATTTCTCAATCGTGCCGAGGACTGAATGGTTTAGAACAGAACTTGGAGTGACACAAGCCAGTTGGTTTACTTGTCCAGGAATGGCAAGCTCCTGATTCAAGGAATCAGTTTGGATATTCTCCTGTACCTCTTCATGAAAATTCCATCGATTCTGAGTTGCAATGCAAGGCAGGTCAACTTCTGAGTTTGAATCCTTTATATCAAAAGAGCTTATATAACATCCACTTCCGCTTGAAGTTTCATCTGAAGTAGAACTTTCCACATTATTGGAGTTCAATAGGTTTTTTTCCTTGTGCTTGGATGACTCATTAATCAATCTAAGAGTCCTCAAGGTGCTTCCAAATGATTTCTCAAAGTTCCTCACAAAACAATCAAACTTGTCTCCAAAAACCTGTCACCAAGTGAACCATAAAAGCAGAAGGCATATACTCAATAAGCATCATTGATGGTGTGATGCACAAAATAAGGCATGAGGAAACTTAACTTGTAAAATCAGAGTCAGTCGATGAGTCAGCAGTTTAAAGTCTGGCTTACATTGGCTAAAGATTCTCTGACAGCTGAAGTGCAAATCTGCAAGCATAAAGAGTAACTGACTTCATTAACAAGGAAGACATTTTTCACTTCAGTAAAACAAACCAGCTATTATGGGCATCTTGTTAGAAAATTAGGACAATACCACTGAGAGATAATCGGGAGACAGCCTTTCCATTGTGACATCTTTCCTTTCCAGAACCTAGAATTACAAAAAACCAGGTTACCATAATCAACCCAAAATTACTCGATGAGATCTTTTAAAAATGAAACAAAAGTATAAGAATTGCCTTTCACAGTATGTAGCTTATCTTTTTAAACTTTTAGTCACAATTGAAGAAGGCCAAGAGGGAGAGGAGATTCAAACTATCTTGACCCTCCACTGCATGACAACAACCAACTAGGCAAAGTTTGGATTATTTACAGAATATAGTCAACATAAAAACAGATTAGATTGGGAGTCGCATGCAGACAGATAGGGAATCATTTTAGAAACTGTGTAACCTAAAACAGGGAACTTTGTTGTAAGGCAAGACTTTTAGAACAGCAGCCTTGGCCTTTGCTATAGCCCTATAGCTCAACATTGCAACTCAAGCTTCCAATGTGCCAGGCAAAAATGAGATACATCCCTCAAGACCCAGCACTCCCTTTTGCTCGAGGCAATTGCAAACATTATTGATGCACTACATCAGCCATCTAAAGAGCCATTGCCATAAGATATCCTCATTTAACCAAAAGAAAGGAAGACATTAAATTTATAAAATCTAACAGAAATCAAAACAATATGAATTCACTAACAAACTTGAATTCTAGGGAGCCAAAATTATGTTCTTTTTTTCAAATTGTCACAAAAAAAAACCAAAATTTAACTTCAAAATTCCCAACTCACAAAAAAAAAAAACCACCTTTCAACTTAAAAGCCCCCTCAAAAAGTTAAAAATTCAAAAAAAAAAGTCAGCTTTTGTAGCAGGGCTCCATAAATTATAAAAATTTCACAATTTTCCATCTATATAATGGTAAAAAGAAGGTTGAAACTTGATCGAACCTGAGCAACAACAGCCGCGAAGGACATTCCTAGAGGAAGCGCAATGGACTCAACGTCACCAACCTTAGATCGTCGAACCGGACCGAACCGAACCCTAGAAACCCGGCGTTTGAATGGCAGGCTCGTTCCTCTCTGAATAGAAGATGAACAGGAAGCGGAGCGAGAAGAAGACGATCGTGCGTCTTTATCAATTGTTTTCTTCTTCTTTCTGTTGATGAGGGGTCTTGGAGATGGAGAATGATTTTCGACCGTTGGATCTGAGTCATCGTTGGGTGGTAGTGCGGCACTGCAAGCAGGGGATTCGTAGGGTTGCAGAGAAGGGGGAGAAGAGGAAGAGAGGACGCCCATTCGGAAAACACAAAAAATTAAAAAAAAATTAAAAAGGTTGGTAAAGCATAAAATTTGAAAATCTCCTTATTACGAAGAGGGTGAGAAGCGGCGTTAGAGTAACGCCGTTAGAACATTTTGAATTTCGTCCACGTTGGCTTTTTTAACATAAACGAAGGGAGCGTTGTCTTACCCCATAAGAAAACGGAGCGTTTATTCTTGTGTTTTTATATGAAAAAAGGAAAAAATAATGCTGAAAATAAAAGTGAAAACTTAAAAATAGGGTAACTTTTTTAGAATATAGTAATTAATAAAAAATAAAATAATTATAAAGTTCTGACAAAATAAAAGATTGAATCCAACTCCTTTCGAAACACGGGATTAAGTTTGGACGTTTTTGAACTTTTAAAACCCCAATCTAAGTAATTAAATAAAGGTTTTTATTAAAATATTTCGTTCCATAATAATTTCATATATATTTTACTTTAAAAATCGAGTTCCAATCTTCCTTTTTTATAAAAAGAAAAGATTTTTTTTCTATACATGATTAAAGTTATTTTTTTTAAAATTTTAATTAAAATATCAAATTAATCATAGCTCTCATAAATTTATATAAACGTGAATAAATAAATGGTCTAGATTCAGGCACCCACTTGATTCAGCTTGGGATTTTGCATGCTGTCCTGTCTCATGGTCGAAAAATGTTTTGGACCGATGATGCCAAGATGGTCCAAGTCCTCACATTATGCCCCACATGTCATAGTAACATGGTAGATCGATACAAGCACCGATTAATTTTTTATTTTATTTTTGTAATTGTGTTAATTTGATATATATTAAGTATAATATTTAAATCAATTCTTAAATTATTTAAAAATATAAAAATTTTAATTTTTTATATTTTTATTATATTTAATCAAATTTTTATATTTTTATTTTGTATCAAATAACTTTTTATATTTTTATGTTGAGTTAAATAAGTTCTTATTAGTAATAATTAACTTAATTAAAATATTATTTCTCATTTTATGTCACGTAAAGTTGATGTAATATGTTAATTTATTATAATTAATAATGATATAAAATATTAATATATCATAATTGATGATGAAAACGTGATATGTTAATTTAATATTATAATAAGTTATATTTTTTACTCTCCACGTTAACGTTATATCAATGTATATAGATATAAAATGATAATAATTATTTTGATTAATAGCAGTTAGTTAATTATTAATCATAAAAGCTTATTTGACTTGAAATAAAAGTATGAGATCTTAATTGAATGTAGTAAAAAAATAAAAATTTGTTTCAATTTTTTTAAATAGTCTAAAGGCTTATTTAAATATTATGCGTATATATTTTTATAACCACAATCAATCTAAATAATCAAAATATATATTTGTTTCAATAATTAGACCCGTAAATACCAAAAGCTATTTTCTAGTATATATTATAGTTTTTTTTATCTAATTTTCTCTACACTACCAAATTGTTAATTTGTTTTTTTATTTGTGGGTCAATGAAAAAGTGTGTGCATAATTTCTTTATAATTTTACTTAAATTATTAAACCATCTTACAATCATATCAAACTATGAAAAAAATTAAGAATAGTAGTTGGATTAGAATCTTCCTCGTCCAGCAGCTCTCCACATGTTTTACTTCCCCAACTTCCAGACAGTTCCAACAGTTAAAACATGTTTGCTTCATATGATTTTATGTATTTAATATGTTTATTCTTGCTAATTATATTTTAGAAATTTGAAGATGGGTTTGTTGAAAAACATTGTTAAGACTTATATCATGTAATGTACATGCATCAGCATTACCAAACTTGCAGCAAGCTATCTGTATTTAATTTAATAGAATTTTCTTCGTTTCAAGGCATTGACTGTCATTGGCAGTAGAAATTCTGAATGAAAAGTGATTATCTCTAGAAAAGTAAAAAGGGGATTAATTTCTCAAACTGCCTTGCAAAGTCGATCCATTTGCTGGCCTCAAAAGATATCTTTTCTAGATATATTTGCTGGGCCAATGTCCTACGGTCAGAAATTCTAGGAGTCAGATATGAGCTGGGATTTTTCACAAGAAGCCCCCTGCTTAAATTGGAAGTGGCAAAGAGAAATGTATCTAAGTAATGTCCTGCTTAAAGTAAGTGTCAAAGAATTTTAGAAGAGTTATACATATATCTATGAGGAAACTTCTTGCTGCTTTGGTTAGTCAAGACAGAATCTGCAGAATAGATGATTGAAACATTGACCTGGGACATGTTGTGGTTACAATAGTTATGATGATAATTGATCAGATAAAGTAACATATAACTGAAATTCTCTGAAACTAAGATTTCCTGCTCTTTGATTGTACTTTAGTAAGAGAATCTCTGATAAAGTTTTATATATATTCATTAGATAGTTAAATCAAATTGAAGAAACAAAAACAAACTTTAAACATATAAATATATATATATATATATATATAATGGGGAAAAAAACTAATAATTTGATTTGCAACTGCTACCAGTCAACCCTGTGAAGATGAGCTGCCATGGTTCTATTGCCATTTCCATCTCCATTTTCTCGAATCCTGTTTGCGTTGAAAGCACCTGCTGTCATCAAACTCTCTCCATAGCCGATCCCTCTTCCACCATCTTCATAGTTGTGTGGATGTGTACCTTGAGCCCCAAGCGAAAAGAAGCCATTGCCATAGCCCTGGAAATGATCTGTACCCCTAGCTGACATAGCTGCATTTACTTTGTTGAATTCAATAGCACCACCATGGTTGATTGCAGGATTAGTAGCAGCGCACTGATCTTCTTGCCTAGCCATGGAATTCTTCTCTCCTTCAGTTTCCCTGTACCTGTTGAGATAAACCTTGAGAGGTCCAACATAATTCTCAAATCCCAGCGTTGTCATAGCCCACAAAAGGTCATCACCGTTTATAGTTTTCCTCTTTTCCCTCTGACACTTGTCCGAAGCCTCACCCGTGATGAAGCTGATGAACTCGGATACACATTCTTGGACAGTTTCTTTGGCTTCTTTGGATATTTTTGCATTTGCTGGGAGGGATTTTTTCATGATTCGACTTACATTAGCTATGGGAAGGAAACGGTCTTGTTCTTTGGAAGAACTGTCCGAGATGTTCCCGGAAGATGGGCTGCCGATGGGGCTGCTGGTTTGGTTTCTTTTTCCAGTCATGGGAGAAGAGAAGAGGAAGGCTGGCTATAGCTAGCAAAGAAAGAAAATAAAAACGGAAGTGTTTAAGGTAAATTTGGGGGAGATATGTATTCTCTGTGAAGCACTTTGTTGTGGAATCTAAAGAGGGGAAGTCTGGCCTTATAAGCTAACACAAAGGGAGAGAAAGAAGGCCAAAATATAAAAAAGTGGCAAGGCGGTTTGATGTAGACAGGAAAGGAAAGAAACAAACACTTGGAGGATCAGAACCCTGGCAAAGAAGGCTTAAGAAGTTTTGGAATCTTAAGGGGAAAGAGTGAAAATTCCTAAATGGGTTTTGAGAAAAAAAGAAACAATAAATTATCTTGTCCATAGAATTCATCTGACAACCGCAAAGACCATAATCTACCTATCAGTTTGCTCCACTCTTTTATTGTCCTTCACCCAGTCTTCCCCTGAAATTTTCAGTCAAAAAACTTAAAGACTCACTCCTAGGAAAATGGAAAACAACCCATGACAACCAGCTAAAAAGCACAGATATTTTTCCAATATGCAAAAGCTTCTTCTTTTGCTGGAGTGAATTCCCTCACTGAATGCTGCCTCTGGAATCTAATCTACTAAATTTGCATGCTCGATATGACATTGGGTCTAGACTGAATCAGTTTGCAGCATGTTTCCCGCTGATTATTGCTTGACACAATATTCAGATAACAATTATCATGCATTCAAAATTCATTCATACTATAGTCTTCCAATTTGGGAGAGAGAAAGAGAGAGAGGGATATGTCCTCACTGTTTTGTTCTTCACCTTGGCAAGACTGTGCTCCTAGCTGTTCCAAAGAGCCCTATGAAGAATGCCTTTGAGTTGTGACAGCCAAAGTACTTGTTTTATTCTTCATTCTGGGATGGAAATAATGGTTTCTTTCTTCAGGAAATTATAATCATAATAATCAACAAACAAACTAATAAAACATCAATATAAAGTTAAATTAATTGAACTAAGGGTTTCACAATCTACTTCTTATACCATTAACATAAGATCTTGTTGATATACAGGAGAGTATGTTAGTATCATATTGTCAAAATGCATAGATTGGATTCAAAGAATATATGTATGTTATAATTTAAAGGCTTTTTCCTTTCACTTTTTCCTTACCTGTTTTGAATTTGTTTTTGGTGAAAGTAAAAAATTTTGCAAACCATGACAAATTTTAGTAGTATTTTTGGCCCTAGCCTGCTTTTATATAGCATAGGGTTCCATATATACCTACCAAATAATAGAGGAATAAAATCCTGAATTTGTACAGATTGGACATTCATGGAAGCTAGCGGGAGCTTCTGATCCTGTTGTCTTCATGCAGATATTTGCAAGGTTAATATTTCTTAAATTTTTCTTGATTTCAAATTAGGGTTATTAATCAATATTAGGCTTGAATTGATATATATCATGAAATGGTCATGGTATCTTTGTACGACCAGGGCAAAAAGCATGCAAGAGGGAAGCTGCTGGATAGACTTTGCACATATGCTTCACTTTTGCTCTCTCTCTCTCTCGCTTTGGGTTTTTGTTTCCATGTGAGATTCTCCCACCTATCACATTCCTTGATTGAGTGCTACAGGGTAGCAATTCACTTCTCCCTAGCTAGGCAAACCAATTGCGAAAGCTGATTAATTAAGTTTATATTAATCAATAGTATTGGCCTCCTAGCTAGGCTCCGCCGTTTGTGACAGACGCTGTAACAAAAGAGCATCAAGATACAAATATCTGAACATGTACGCAGCATAACTATAAAAGTTAGTACATATCTAGATAATTAAACTCCTTTTATCCTTTTAATTTACAATAACACAAAGAGCTCATCGGCTAGTGTGAATATTTAAACAAATGGAGACTACGTTTTCACCTTTGGAAGTAGGTCTTGGCAGAAATGATTTAAGTTCTAATTAGATGGTGTTTAACATAAAGTTATCAAATTATCCATTTATCTATCTAAAGAACCGTTATTTTGTTAAATTTTAGATGGGTAAATATTCAATTTAAAATTAATTGATACTAGGTGACATGAGCTTTACTATATTTATGTGTCTAAAATACATTCAATTTAATTATTGTGAGATTTCTTATTTCTCTATTTCGATAATCCTCCTCATATACAAAAACAACGAATTTATCACATGATATGAAGACAATAGACTTATTACAGAAGAAAACAAAGGTACGAAGTTAAATTTTAAAATGAGTAATCAACTTAAAATCAATCGATAAAAGGTAAGGTAATGTTTATTCTATTTATGTGCTCAAAATACTCCAAATTTAATCAATGTAATACTTCACATGTAAGGGATAACAAACTTATCATGTGCATGAGTTTCACGTGTTAAGATAATAAGCTTGGAGATAACAATAGGGAGAACCATCCACTTTGATATCATGTTAAATTTTAAATTAGATGCCAACCTTTTTTTTTTTTTGAAAATTAAGGTTGTTTGATTAGCTGGGCAAGAATAACCCTTTACAAGCAGGCAGAGTATCCAATCAAAGCCAGTCGTGGTACTCTGCTCGAATCAGGCTTACAAAAAATGCCAATAGATGATCCTATCATTTATACAAAAAAACCCATCCTGAACTCAATCATTCAAGCAATGCCCTCAGAACCACCCAACTATACAAAAACAAGGGCAGAATAAGCAAGAAAAGGAAACAAGACCATTAAGCATGTTTCCACTTCTTTCAAATCCTTACACACCTTCGAAGAGTCACCATCCATTATCACTCCATCAAAACAGCAAGCAAAGCATCCCACGTGAAAACACATTCCTAAAGTGCAAAAACAGGACGTAACGATGTCATATTATTATATCAAAATAAGTGTTGCACTTATTCATGAGTCCTATGCGTAGGACGTGATGTTCAAGTCACACGATAGACCCATCATCTTTTACACATGAAATTTTCATTTTCTTCGTGTATGAAGAGAGTATTAAGGTGATGATAAAAACTTTTATTACGGTAAGTGCTACTACACAAGCAAATAAAGCCATCTAAATTCATCACCTGAAACCACTCAACAAGAAGAGTTTGAAATAAGCTGGCATATTGACTTGAGCTTGGCGATATTAAGCTGGAAATTATATGATTTTGGCACCTTGTGATCTTGGTTATTCGACCTTGGTTTTGAGCTATTTGTTTTTTCAACCATGGAATATTTATATATCCCATTCATCAATTATTTGTCCCTTCAAAATTATTATAACACTTATTGAGCCAACATTTTCTTCAAGTATAATGAACATATAGGCAGTTCTATGCACCACCTTGTTTACATTTTCTTATGCATTAATTTTCTAGTTTATTTGGTCTTTTTTTGGGTCAAATCTTCAAAACCTAAATAAAATATGAAAACCCTAAGGAAACCCTTTTAGCAGAAATGCGACAAATGGCTTCTTGTGCAACTAACTTTACCTATTCCGCCATTTGCATGATTAAAAATAATTGGGGGACTGTCTCTAACTTGCTGTCTCCTCAATAAATTAAAATGCAAAAGTCTCAGTGTTTGATTTATAAATAGTTAATTGCCTATGGGGATTTTTTTTTTCTCTCTACAAATTTAGTCAACTATGTTATTAGAATTCAATAGATGACAAAGTTTAGGGTTTGACTTGAGTGGAGGCTTCTAGGTCAAATGTTACAGTTGGATTAATAATTTCATTGTATGTAATCTTTGCTTGTAGAGAATGAACAAATTAAACCATATAAAAACTATGCAATTCAAACAGATAAAACTGTCCGAATATAGGTGAACAAAAGCATCCAAACACAACATTTCGTTCACCCAAGACAACCTTCGGTTCTTACTAAGGTTAGGCTTTAACTGTTTCTATTATGTTTTAATTCCACTAGTCAATTTGTTTCAAAACAAAAATTCCACTAAACAATTACATGGTGGGTATTATTCTCGTAATCAATTTTTTTAATTCTAAAAAAAATAATATTATTTTATTTTATTTGATTATCGTTTGTCAAATTACTCAAAAATGGTATGAATGTAACAGATGACAAGTTCATAGTCCGTAAGTAATTGGATAATAAAACTATCAAACACTTTATTATACTTATCCTAATTATGAACGTTGTGAACATTTAAACGTAATTAATATTTGACGCTTTGATTAAACTAAAAATCTCTAATACTTTGGTTTTCGAAGGAAATAATCGATATTCAACAAAATAAATACAAACCATATCAATGCTGTCAACACATTTTATTTATTAGATATGATGTTTGCTTGCATTAGTCAGCATTAGCCGGTTGAGAGACTTTAGCTATTAGTCAACGTAATTATATCTCGCAATCTTGCTTATGTCGTGTTAACACAGAAACTAACCAGATTTGGTCAAGATATTCTGTAAACCATTAGACCTTATGCTCTCTAACATCACATTTTGAAACTACAAACTCTAGAGAAGTGTTGGTTTGTTTCAATCCTCCTTGCGGCTTGGTTCATGATATATGCTTAATGTCACGTGTCGAACTTTAGTTGAAACTCATGCAGTACTTTGTCCGGTAACTTGGACAGCCTCCGAAATTAATTCGATACCTCACATGACTTGAATCCACTTACCGTGACACTTATGGCGGAGCTGTTTATTCTTTTTGGTATCTATGAAAACTTATTTGGTTTGAAAGGACTGGAAGTGGATTGGCAGCCAGGTCGTTATTGCCATGTGAACTTGCAGTCCGATCCAATATTAGAAGTAAAGGTCCTAAAAGCCACATTATTCACCGGTGTCAGAGATTTCTTGAAATGAAACTGGAGGCGCTTTGTTAATCAAGTGAGCCGCGAAGCAAATTACTAGTACTTGTTATGCAGAACGGGCCAGCCTCACATCACCTTCAGAATCTCAGATATAATGCCCTCGTCACAGGAGAAGATCTTTTCTGGCATTACTAAGCCTACGGCTTATCGTTTCTGGGCGAGGTTTGGCAAAATATTTAGGCCCGTCAAGCAAATACCAGGGTTAAAATTTCAAGCCTACTTTGCAATCAGATTGAATTTTGTATAGAAAGGGGGAAAAAATTGAAATCAAAATGAATTCATGGTCATAAAACCATAAATTTGAGCATAAACAAGTTAATAGAAGTTTATGTTGAAGATAGCAAACTGAAAACTACCTAATATCAAGTCTCCGATAGGTAACTACCTACTTCAAGATGAGTCTTTCCTTATAAGAAAGAGACTAAGACAGAAACAAGCAATTATAAAGAGTATAAACTACTTGTTGTTGAGTTAAAATACAAGGGAATGAACTATTTTTTAAAAAAAACAAGGGAATGAACTAGGCTAACCATAAGCAGCATACAGTTATGAGTAAATGGACAAGAAGAACAAATCAAACACAGCATTCGAGTAGTGAAATCATTGTTTAGTGGGGCTGTGTAGATGTAGAAGTGTAGTGATTTGTTCCCTTTTCACTTTGTTATGGAGTATTTGTCTTCTACTGGCAATTTAGCATGTCTCTTATCCACATTCAGCATGGAGCCCCCACTAGACCAATTGAAATATCTCCATGTTCAATCAAAAATTACAAGTTTCCTTGTTAGCCTCTGAATAATTCAGAGTGAGTTAACTAAAATTAACATCAGAAAAGTAATATTAGTGCGCAAAACTACTAACAAACCCAGCAGCATACACAAATACCTTTACATGCTCAGATGGTAGAAACAAGAAGGGAAGAAATGGGAGGTGGAAGCTAAAGATCTCAAGCTGAACTTGTCATTTGATTGACAAGTGGGTAGCACGTCGACTGGCCCAAATGAAAATCTTCTCATGATGTACGTATTTCAGCAAAGGAATGATGCTTTGACTGCAATCAACTGAAACAGAAAGCAAAGAACCTAAACTCGATCCACTCCATAAACTAACACAGCAAAACACAAAAACAAGATGACAAAATTCAGCCATGACACATGTACAGAAGACAGATCCAATCTTGCTCACCACAGAGCTTGACTCCATGGCTCTACCGCTTACGTCGGCTGGCAAAATAGTTTATAGCCATCCTAGAAAATCGGGTAAGAGTGAAAAATATTTTCAATATGGCACGACCCTTTACAATTCCCTCCCTCATGCTTCTTGCAGTTCGAGCTATCAGTGGCCCTGACACCTCAGTTTTCTGTTTGGCTACCTCCTGCACCGAAGCTAATCAAGTAAAAATAGAGTAAAATTCATGGTATCCATATGAGAACTCATAGCAAATACCCAAAAAGGCAATAAATTTGAAGATAACCTGATGAAGCAATGTCTGTTAACCAACGCAATCTCTCCTCAGCTATGCGAACAGCGCTAGTTGAGCTTCTAACACCTCGAGTAATCTCTTGCCTGTAAAACAAAAGAAACAATTACTTCAAGATAGAATTGTGTATTGTTTTTGTGTTTTATTAGCCAAAAAGGGGGAAAATATATTTGAATATAAGGGGGAAAGGGAAGAGGGATGAGATATTAGTGACTTTAATCAAACAAGTAGAATACTAACCCCAAATCACTAAGCTCCATCGTTAAGTCACTAATCTCCATGCCTGACAAGCGAACAGCAGCCATTGTATCAGGAAGCTCTTCCCTGGTGACATCCATTAGCTTCTCTAGTGACTCTGCTGCTCTCTTGAAAGCCTTTTAGAAAAATAAGCGCAAAATGGACAAGTATATAACATATCCTTCAGAACTTCTAACATCAATCTTTGAAATGATAATATCTCTGAACTTGAAGTTGTTTTAAGAGTTACCGACCAAAAGAGTGGGGATTGCAGAGAAAAAAAGCCAAGTTGCCGAAACTGCCACCTAGAAAAGATTTGTGGATTTGTCAGAATCATAACATAATTCTTCCAGTCTATAAGCCAAATGCTCACATGCCAAATTCATTCGTTCTTTGCTAGAAAAATTCATGAAAATTTTTTCTCTTTAAAAGAATGATAGCGTAAAAATGCTGATTCAAATTTGGATTAACTATTCTCTTTTGTTAACTATTACAGAATCAGAGCGAAATTTCAAATAATGAGCAACAAAAATTACGGGAATAAAATAAAAGTAATTAAGGAGAACTGACAGCGCAAGCGACGACGTTGAGCACGAGGATGTGGCGGTTGGTGAGGGTCCATTGAGAGAGCTGGAGAGAGGAGGACCCCACGGAGGAGACATAGTGAGTAGACACCGGCGGCTGAGATGAGAACGATGACGATGATGATGGTGAAGCTGAACCGTACTCTGATCGAACGGAGAGAGAAGCGAAGCGGCAGAGCGGCAGGCGGGGATTACGGAAGCGACGGGGCGGGCGGATGTTGTTGTTAGTAGGGTACGCGCGATCGATGGAGGTGAGGCTGAGGTCAGCTACCTGTAATTTTAGTCTACACAACATTGATTCTGATTAATGCCTGCAATTTCTTTCGTCTGGTCTTAAAACCTTCTTAGCTCATCGCATTGCAATCTCCGGAAATTTCAAGTTTGTATATCAGTTTAGGCTTTTTTTTTTTTTTCAAGGGCATTAAAGGAATTGTCTTTTACTGCTGTTTCTTTGCTCTACGTTTGGACAGGGCAAAAGAGCGAAGAGCGGTGAAAAGAAGAGGTTAAGCTTGATTTTGTGTTTTTAGTTTTACAATTTAGTCCAGCTTTGATCTTTTCATTGACTCATTTCAAGTTCAATTTTTAATATCCAGTCCCCCTATATATCATGATTTACTATAAGTTGATAATTACGGAGGCCATTAGAACTTCATAAGAAATTTTACAGATTTTTATATTACCATTTTGGGCTAGATTTATGTAACAAAAATAATAACATAATATATATAATTAATTTTATACGTAATTTAACTCTAATTATTACTGTATAACTCGAATTAAATATTATACATTTAATTAACTAACAATATTGTATTTTAACTCTAACTAGATGATTAATTCAATTATCTTAACAAAATTAGTTAAGCTTAAGCTTGAATGATTTTTTGAAAAAAATCATTTATCCATTTTCAAATATTTAAATATAAAGGTTTCGATTAAATACACTTTCCAAATGAATACTTCATATCTTAACAATACCATTATCGGACCCAAACCCCATCCGGAATTGCTGCTACCTCTCAGCACAAGCAACAGAACAGCGTAGCTTAGCTAGCTACTGGGAATAACTAGCACTGAGAATCGGAAGAGGAATCATTTTGTAATCTTCTCTTTGCAATTTGCATCTGGGGTTTTCTCTCTGGGGCCAATCTCAGCTGTTGGTGTTGATTGATTGAACATCAAATGTTGAAAATTCCCCGTACAGCCACCCTATACCGAAGCTGAATGAAAGAATTTGATAAGACATGTTAACAGGATAAAGTACTATCTTTCGTTTCTTTGTTCATTAGTTGAACTATTCTCAGACGAGGAATCCAGACCCAAGCACTTAAGAAATGCTATCTTAGCAAGCCTGAGATAGTGACAAGGGTGATAACAATTTTGATTTGCTTCTTTTGATGAAGGGCCTTCCTTTTCTATAGTGTCTTCTCCTCTCCCTATCCTTCTGCTTGTTCCTGTGGCTATCTCACCCTTCATACTCCGGCTTTCTCCAACCTGCCGATACCCAATATCCAATTTATTAATCATTATTCCTTCCTCAAACACCATCCACACCCATATATGCTTTTAAAACAAGAAATCTAACTATTATTATTGTTGAAACCCACACTTGATTTGGCTTCCAATTTATAGTTAAGATAGGGATGGAGATTCAATCCACAATTGTTATAATTTAAGAAGGTATTTGATATCAAATACACTATGCCTCAGCCAAAATTGTTATTATGATCATTAACCAATGATCGTTGTCCAATATAATCATTAATCTTTGGGATTGTTTACATAAGAGAAACAGGATTAAAAGAAAAAAAAACAAAGAGAAGTTTACTCTAAATCACTTCTTTCCTCTCATTCTCTTCCAATTTTTTCCTACTAACCCAAACATGCAGTACCTAGGAATAATCAGAACATCAACAAGATATATATCTCAGCATTTTTAATCGTTTCTCCATCCAAGTTATGACAATTTTTCATTCTGTGGAGTGGATTGGCAAATAAACAGAAACACTGAAAACAAATTAAGCATAGCCAACGTGTTGAAATTGCAAACTAAGTTTCAAACAAGTTAGACCAAAAGCATTGACAATTTTGACACTAACCATGCACCTTGAACAAATAAAAATGAGCTCAAATTAAAAGAGAGAGATAGACAGAGGAAAACACTGAAACTTCCAACTGAACCTAGAGCTAGAGTCAAAGAAACACTCAAAAACCAACTATCCTCAGCACTCCTCCTTTCTCCCCCCATGAAAAGGGATTAAAAATATGCCTCCCAATATAAGTCTAAATGGTACTTATGGAAAAGACAAATTTAAGAAGGTGTGAGTGAATTATTAGTATAATTTAATAATAACATCATCACGATGTTTGGTGCAACTTTGTTTATTTATTGTATTAAAGAAAGTAGCTTTCACTCCAAGCAGACAAGAAAATGAACACTCAATTAAATAAAGAATTGCAGCCTTACATAGGCAGGCAATTAGACAAAAAAATACAGGTATGCGTCTTATTTCTTTATAGGAGATAATATTATCATACATATATAAATATTAATGGAGTGGTAACAACTAATAATTAATTTAGAAATTTGACTGATCAACCTGAAATACCAACTAATAGAAAAACTAAAAAAGAATAGCAAGAAAAGAGGACACAAGATTTGGGAAATTCCACGGGCGGCAAAAAAAATAAATTACTGTCAAAGAGTAGACATTACAATGGTCAAGTTCATCCTAATACTCACTACAATAATTATATGTCTAAGATTTCCAAGTGTTTCCTGTTATCTTGATAAGTACACAATCAAACCTCTTACTCGAGAAAAAGAGCATACAAAACAAAAGCAAACTTCTCGTCTCTCTCCTTCCTTGCTCGGTACTTGAGGCACAACCCAAGGCTCTCTTTTACATTTGCAACCATTTCTTCTAACCTTTAATCACCATCCTCCAACTCCTAATTTCCAATACAAACAAATGTGGTGTGATGGATTTTGAATTTACAAGTCACAACCCAACAAACCCTTTCCCTGCTTATGGAATCAAAAAATCTACTCACCATCATGACCCTCCTACTTGAAAGTCATCAACCTCGTTTAAGTTTACAAAGTTTCTTTCCAATGTCAACCTCCAACTTCCAACTTCATTCAACAAGTTAAGTCCAAATTTATTGACTTTAGGCTGAAAGTCCCAACCATCACAGAGTTCATTTAACACAGTGAGGGCCATTGCTTTAACACAAAACAATGGAATTTTTCAGACAAACTCAAGAAATCTCCACCTTCATTTGAAAAATTCCTCCAAACTGACAATTTTAGCAAACTTGCTCAAACATTTCAATGTTTTTTTGGTATATGAAAGATCTTTCATATTTCATTGGAGATCCTAGTCTGTGTTGCAACAGTGCTTAGAAGTAAATAAACTCTGTGTTCTATCTCTTAGTGGTAAAGGCATGAGGACTTACGTTGTCCATGTGGTGCTTAAACCAGTTGCCTATAAGAGGCAAAGTGAGAATGAGACCAGATGTGCTATGGTTTGGGCTTAGGCTCAACCTTCTTTAGTTTCTCATAAAACTTAATGGCCTCATTGAAACTAGCATTTGAAGAATTTCTTTTTCGAAAAAGTCAAGTTAGTGAAATTTTAAGTAAAAAGTTGAGTTGTGATTTGCAAATTCGAAACCAACCACATCAGTTTTGTCTATGATAACCAAAACATGGTAATTGAAAGTTAGGGAAAAAAAAGTTGCAAATATAAAAAGAAGCCTTGAGTTGTATCTTGAATAGAGAGAGCAGAAGAAAGCAAAAAAGTGAAAGAAAACTTTGCTTTAGTTTGTAAGCTCCTTCTCTTAGGTGATATTCACTATCAAAATAATCATAAACACATGAAAATCTTAGATGGGTAATTATTCTAGCAAGGTACTGAGGTGAGTTTGACCATTGTAATCTCCCTAGAATTTCTTCTTTACAACCCTCATAATTTCTCATGATTTATATTGATTACTTTATTTTCCGACTGCAACTAAGTAGTAAATTAAGATCTAAACCACAACAATTCCTTTAGCAGCTTCATTATCTTGCCCGTATCCCCACAGGCTTGTACCCGGGTCCTATCAGACCGAACATGGACCAAATTTAATTAGGCAGCTAATCTGTGAAAATAGTTAAATAGGCTCATTTAAAACTGTATGCACTGCATTAATGTTCAGCGGCCCAAAGAGGGATTGGATGGTAAAGAAGAAAAATGGTTCCATTTCTTAAAAAATCTTCCCCGAAATTAGAAATTATTGTTCGTTATATTTGCTTCAAAGAAAAAAAAAAAAGATGAAAGGTATCCTCATACCAGCGAAGAAAAGAAATACCATGCTTCCAGGTTTCAAAAAGCATAAAGTCAAAACGACCTTCTTTTGTTTTCAGTGGGGAAGATTGGATTTTTGGCAGAACTTCCTTACTTTGTGCTAAAGTTAAGTGGGAACTAATGGAAAACGTTTAAAGGTTGCATTCGGGATGCCAACTCCCACTAAGAAAAGGCATTGCTTCTCAGGAATGGTTTACTACTATTTCACTGTTTTACTAACAAAAAAGACATGATTTTACCAAATTCCACTGTACATACCATAACATAAAAAATAAGTGGATCCAAAATTATTGAAGAAATTAGCAAGAAATTTTAGTTTCTGTATCATTTGCTGCCTTTAACTCGCTAAATGCTAACCAACTTTAATAAACAGATAAATAAATAATAGTCTCTAACGTTTCTTTGGACTTGGTCTTCTTGGCGAAGAAAATATTAAACCAGAACAGGCCAACGGTCAGAACCAATCGAATAGAAAAAAATAAAAGGAAAAATTTTATAAGGAGAAGGTTTGTGGCGGGGGGGAAGAAAAATAGATTAAGAAACAAGAAAACGGCAGAAGACAGAGAGAAGTGGATACCTGGGAAGCCTGGAAGCAAGTGGACACAAGTCTTGTATTTTGCTTGAAACCAGGTTTTTTGTCCAGCTGGAGTTCGGGACAAAGGGATGCCGAAGCTGAGGAAGTGCAGTCGGGGAGATCCAGAGCGGAAAGGCTGACGCAAAAGAGAAGAACCACGAGGAGGAGCATGACAAGTATTTGGATCCATACTAGCCATGGAATTCTGTAGCTTTCAATTGTTAGTTCGTCCCCAAAATCAAACATATTTGTCTTTTCTCTGGCCCAAATATATGTACAAGTTGTCAACAAAATTTAGAGGGAAAAAAATTGAAGGGAAGAAGGGTAGGTGAGAGAGATAGACATGAGTGGGATGGGCGAAGAGCTGAAGAAAGAGGGGGTTGGGTTAAAAACGAAAAGGCCAGGACTCCGTAGATTTTATGTGGTTGATTGATTGTATTTCTTTTATTTTCCATGTGAGCTGAAGCTGACGAAAGAAACAATATTGAAAGCGAAATAATTATAGTGCAAAGGACCACGCGCCCATTACCAAGCGTGGTCCAATCGGGGAACCGTTTAACGAAAGGTGTATAGCGAACTTGCGGTTTTGTTTTACTAAGCTTGATTCTCTGGTTCAGAAGAAAAGAAAATAAAAAGAAGCTTGATCGAATTTAATTGTTCACAAGAACATTAACTCCCCTCTCTTTCTCGACACCCAAACAAGAAATTTCATGAATTTTCTCTCGCTTTTGCACTGAAAACAATTAACTTAACCTTCTTTAAACCGGAAATTTTCACTTGCATTGAATTGAATTCTCTGGGTCTGGTCAATTCCACAAGATAGGAGAGTCGTAGAGTCAAGCGTGTGCACTCACGATCCTCTGAGAAGCGTGGAACTGTAGCTTGGAGGAGTTCCATGTCTACGTAAATAACACCGTCCAGGGTCGAGGCAATGACGTAGGCTTATCGCGGCCCGTCTGGACAGCCAAGATTCCCTTACCGTGTCTTTGCATACGCTTCTATTTAATTTTCTAATATCTATGTCCCGGGCAATAATATTTTTTTTCATAAAAATCATTACATTAAATTATTAACAAAAAAAAAGTAATTAATATACTTTCATCTTATTATTAATAATTAGAAATTTTTTTTGTATATCCTGCACGTTAGTTTCCATAATAAAATATAAAACATTTCACTTATAATTATTTTATTGCAATTATACAATTATCCAATCATAACAAAAATTTTTGGTACATATAATTATGAAGTACAATAAATTAATTATAGTACAATCATTGTTAGTGATATGTTCTTATTAATATATAATTATCAACATTTTTTTGGTACATATAATTATCAATATTTTAAACAAAATAAAAATGTCTAATACAAACTGTTGATATACCAAATTTAATATAATTTTTAAAAATTTATAAAATAAAATAACAATTCTGATAATAATAAATTTTAACTTTTTAATTTCAATAAAAATATTCACACTTAATTAATTAAAAATCTCAAAACATATACATATAAGTGTTGAAAAATAAAGAAGAGTATGGGGCGAGAGGACGGGATGCGGCTACCGCAGATCATGATTACCATGTCTCGCCTATCAAACAAAAAAAGAACATCCCGTTCAAGGCGATTTCCATTTTGCCATCCCACCACCGCGGAGGAAAAGCGTAAAAGAAAAAGGCCGAAGGCCGCCGTAAAATGGAGCCGCGTCGCTGCCACGAGCCAGCCATGTGGGGCAGTGCTCTGACGTGGGTGATTAAGTTGTTGACACGTTTCAAATTCTTTTAATCCAACAATCATATTGTTGCATCATCTTTTAGTCATTGGGAAATTAAACACATACCGAGTAAACAGTAGTAAAATTTTATGGGGAATGGGCGACTGGGTTGTCGACGCACGTGGAAAGAACGTGACTTTTTGGTAATGGTAATAATAATAAAAAAAGGTAGCCTGTTAGCCAGCCATCGGTTCAATCTGGGGCGGTTCATTGGGTCCCCCACCCCAGTGGGGTGGTGGGGCGGGCGGGCAACAAAGGTGACTATGGATGGGGACCACCGGGCAGGTTCATTGGCCAATACGCTTCGTGTCAGCAGGTTAAGTTGGTGCGTTTCTCATTGTTTTTGCAGCGCTGGTATTATTTATGTGATTAATTATTTCTAAATTTGGTTCAAGCGCTCATCACTATGCTTGCATTATTTCCTTTGGGTCATAAATTAAAAGTTAGGTTCAGAGGAAAAGTACATCTTAACCGATGGGGTGACCAACCGTCGGGCCATTGCATTTATCATCACAAATTCAAAGGTTAGAAAAAAAAAAAGCTGGACAGATTAAAAACAAATACGAGATCTAAAATCCAAGGGCAAATTGCAAGGGTTTGCCCCCACGAAGGGTAGCATTCCTAAAGATGGATGAAATTTGCAGTGAGATTTTAGGGTGGTCCTAAAAATGTTGTTGATAAGGGCACATCAAAGCTGAAGCTAGGGAGCAGGGCCTTTGTGTCAGGGCAAAAACCTTGTGGAAACCATGGAACCAAACTCTTCAAATCAAGCCACCTTCAACTTCACTTTTTTACAAGAAAATCAAGCGACCTCGATTTTGTCATTATTTATTAGACTTTTGCCTAATAATGCTAAATCTCAATCATAATAAAATTGTGTGCTAAAGAATTAGAATAAACTACATTCATGATCTATAAAATTTGAATTGTATATTGATTTGATCCTTGTAATTTAGAAAGTCATTGGATGCATACATTTAATGAAAATATTATTAATGGAGTGACCATTTTGTCATAACATTAAACTTATAACAATCAACAAAGTTACTTTCAAAACTGTAAAATCAGCATAGGATGTACCACAAATTTCGAGAAGTAGGAATGTAATTTACTCAAAGAATTATAATGGTAGTTTTTCAAAAGGAATAATATTTAAATATTTTTTTTGAATTATTTAAAAAAATTAAATAAATCTTTATTTTTATATTTGTTCAACCAAATATTATATTTTTATTTTGAATCAAATAAATTCTTATGATTAATAATTGACTAATTGTCATTAATCAAAATATTATTTGTTATTTTATATTTACTTGACATTGAAAAACATTATGATCATGACATCAAACCACATTAGCATACTATGTCATTATTTATTAGAACATATCAATATATCATATTAAGATCATGTTATAGAATAATAAATAGCATTTTGAATAAGTCAATCATTAATTATAAAGATTTATTTGGTTCGAAATAAAAGTATAAAGATTTATTTGATTCAAAATAAAAATATAAAAATTTGATTATATTTAATAAAATAATACAAATTTATTCAAAAATTTTAAAATAATTTAAAAGTATTTTTTAGGGATCATGCCTTTTGCAACTAATTATTGAATGTACCACAAACATTTGGACCAACCTTCCCAACCTAAACAAAATCTTAGCCCTACGGGCTTTTGAGCTGTGACTGGGCCTGATTCATGTGGCCTGAGAAAGACCAGCTAGGGTGACTTCACTGGTAAAAGACTCACTTCAGTTCTTCTCATATTTGACATTTAGTAGCAACAAAATCCACCATACAGAATAAACACCTTTCAATTCAGTTAAAGCTGTCACCATTATATTTCTTAATTATCTTGTTAATTTCTGTTTTGTAATTATTAATAAAATTCTTCTACTAGTATTATCTAATCCTGGTGGTGGGTTTCGTCTGCAAATGATTCCCATCGATCTAGACCACAAATTTGTACGTACATTAATTTCATGCATAAAACAAAACAAGGCCAATTTATTTCATTCCCTTGGTATCATACGCTACGTTGTCCATTTGCATTTCCCCTAATTGTCCCAAGCACTTCCAAACTAAAGTCGCTCTTATCTATTCAATGAGCGCGCAGCGAATTATAAATGGAGTAACTAACTTTACATCCATGCCTATTCTGGCAGTGGCATGGTTGGATTTTCAAAACCTAATAAAGAGGCAAAGCCTTAGGAGATATTGACCATATTTGTAGGGTCCCAAATCTATCCAATGCCTCAAGCCAGTACCTAACCTGACGACCATCTCTCTCCTTCTCTTGCTCTCGCATGGCCCCCTCCCATTCTGGTTCATCAACGTCCATTGATGGGAGAGTCCAGACCTCGAACCAGCGCCGCTACCTCCAACGATATCGAACCTCCGACACCAACAACCCCTAAAACGCCAAGGGCTCCTTCAACACCACGCCAACCGGTCTCCCTTGTCCAGCCATCCCAGAAGCACAAGAAACATAAGCCGAGAGTCCTTCGTGTCTTTCGATCCGTTTTTCGTTCATTCCCTATCATTACCCCAGCATGCAAGTTCCCAAGCCTCCCTGGCGGGATACCAGACCCTCATAAAAGCATTACATCGGGGACCCGAGTGACGGGAACTTTATTCGGGTATCGTAAAGGTAGGGTAAGTCTTTCCGTGCAAGAGACCCCTAGGTGCCTCCCTTCTTTAGTTGTTGAGTTAGCCATGCAAACAAATGCGCTACAAAAGGAATTGGGTGCAGGGATGGTAAGGATTGCCCTGGAATGTGAAAAGAGAGCTGAAAAAGACAGGATAAAGCTATTCGAAGAGCCTTTGTGGACAATGTATTGTAATGGGAAAAAAGCAGGGTACGGGGTTAAGCGGGATGCGACGGAGGAGGATTTGAACGTGATGGAACTCCTCAAGGCGGTGTCAATGGGGGCCGGGGTGTTGCCAGGGAATTCTGAGACTGAGGGCATAGATGGAGAGTTGGCCTACATGAGGGCCTATTTCGAGCGTGTTGTTGGCTCCAAGGATTCCGAGACTTTGTACATGATAAGCCCGGATGGGAATAATGGGCCTGAGCTCAGTGTATTTCTCGTCAGGATCTGATTCTGATCCAGTTAGTACACGTAAAAAATGTGAGAGTTGATTAAGAGGTTGACGAGGCTGCCACGTGGAGGATATAGGCATGCATCATGGGGTCCGCTGATTAACGTTGATGATGTTGATCGATGAATGTATATCCTCCCTGGTGAGTGAAAGGTTGATAGAGATCTTAGATGCAAGTTGGGTAGAGAGTCAAGTTATTAAGTGGATTGTTTAGGACAACCCCATAATTAAGGTGTTCTGGGAGGCCACCAAGGCACTATTGTATACATTTTCTTTTTTCATTTTTCTTTCTAACGAGGGATTTTCTTTTTCATTTTTCATTTTTCATCAATGTATTGTACACAATTGTAGCTTCTTTTTAACGGAAGGACCAAATCAAAGAAATTAAAAGGATTGTTAACCATGATCGGAAATAATTACATGAAGCAAACCGAAACAAGAATATTGAATCATTGAAAGGAATGTTCATCATGAATTCCAGCCAACAGTTTCCCGCATAATCATGAGTAACAATTGAGTACTCATCATCCTCCGCCATTTATTTGAAATTGCTTCAGATGCAATAAAATAGTATTTATTTTCTTGTGCAAGTGCAATATGTTATGCTGAGCACATGCTGCTGGTGTTTTTGATGCAAAGGCCTTTGTCAGTGTCAATAGCTAGGCTTTGCAGGTGTCCATTTTCAGTTTTAGAAAAAGGTTATTCCAGCCTCTGCAAGCTATAACCATAGAATTCTGCAATATGGGGAAGCTTGCTCAAGATCTAAAGAAGAGATTTTGCCACATGGTTGAAGCCTTCATATCTTGCAAAAATGATAAAGGTAAAACATTATTTTCCCAGCCAAGAAAAAGAAACAGAGAGTATATCAGTTTATGAGCCATTAATTTCTTTATCTTGTTCTTTTTTTAGGAAATGAAAATGGGGAAGAACCCAAGATTCAATCTTCGGAGGTACATTTTGTTTTTTTGGCTTGCTTTTTTTTTTTTCATTTTTTTCATTCCTTTGATCCACGAGAAGTATGTTACCCACATAATGTTGGTTTGTTTACTGTCAACTGTATTATGCCAAGAGCTATTAGATGATTATCCATTGATCTCTTTGCTGTTGTTTTACAGACGGTAAGCATGGAAGAGAGAACCATCCGGATCAAAGCTCCAAGGGGTCCAACGCGCCCGGGCGTGCCTAAAGGTCCCCCCGCTCAAACCAGCTGAAGATCATAAATCCTTTCAGAATTCTGCTAGTTTGGCATCCCCTGGTGCTAAATGTAAAAGAAAATACTTGGTGCTTGACATTTTATCTCTATAATGTCTTGTACTAATTACAACCATAACATCCTTGCAAGTTAATTTTGTTGTAAGCTGCTCAGTATCAGTTTCCATGCTACCTGCTTTGGCTTTGCTTTCCCTTGGATCTCTATCAACTTCTTCTCATAAAAATTAAGAAAGCAATTGATCTCGTGATGGCAGAGGTAAAATGCTAGATTCAATTGGGGATTAGGTTCATAAAAGAAGCTGCTCAATATCTCACGATTTTCAATATTCAAAGGTAATTTGGTTTCATTAAGATATATATACATATATAGGCAAAGTCTAATCACTTTCTAAACCACACGTTGGGTTTATATTAGGGATATAGATAAATTAAAGTACTAGCTAGTCTGCAAATTAATCGGGTTTGACTCAGACACGTGTTCAAATTTGATTTGTGCATATAATTGTATACATACAAATAAGGTATAATATAGTGTTATTTACATTCATATTTGTAAATGTAATTCTAATCTTGAGCTTCAGCTTGAATTCCAGTAGAAATGAAGTTTCAATCTTTTAATTTGAGTTGATGATGATTGAACTGAATCTAGTTAAGTTCAAATGGCTCTTTCTTTAGAAATTATTATAACTAATCAAAATGTGTAATATATATTAGTTATACTAATTGCAGTAAAGTAAAGGTGGATCTTAGTTGTATAAATAAAGTCTTTTTCTATTTAATATATATATTTTTTGAGGTAAAAATATACACTCATGACGAGTGTATTTAATAAGTTGAAAATGTGATTCGTAACATAATGCACATTCCTTTAATATCATATAATTCTAAATATGTTTGATTAAGTCGAAAAATTACCTTTTCATCCTAGTGCTTTTAATGTAAAAAACAAACTAACAACACAGAAGATTTTGATTTCTTTCAATCTAATAATTGAAAAAATAAACTTCTAAAATAAACTTTTAATGTATCACTTGTAATTTTAATGAAGAAAGGAACGTAAATTCAAATTTAGAATTACTTGGGTAACATTTGGTATAAGAAAAATGAGAACATATTATTTATAATATATCCAATTAAATTACAGTGTTTGTTTTACAACAAATTACTGCAATGTAAAATTGTATTGACTGTAATGTGATTGTTATCCAAAATCAATACAATTAAATTATATTACATTCTATAATATTATTAAAAATATTTTTAACTTTTGATTTTTTATTTTGTTAAAGATATTTTGTAATGATATAATTTATTATTTTATATAAATTTAGAAGGATGTTTCTTTATTACTCTCAATAGTCATCCTTTGTTGAATGATGGATGAGGGCTTTGAATAAAATTTATTTATCTTTTAAAGGAAAAAAAATAAAATAAATCATATAATATAAAAAATTATTTTAAGAAATGAAAATAAAATATATGATATTAAAAATATATTTAGAAGATAATATTATATAAAAATTAATAATTAAAAAAATAAATATATTAAATTTACATTTAAATAAATAGAGATAATTTTACAAATTAATATTGCATTTTTAATAAAATATTTATAAATTAAATACTGTAATATTATTTTTTATATTTTAATTATTATTTTATTTATATATTAAACATTCTAATATTATTTTTTATAATTATATTACATTGAGTATATTTCCAACTCCTTGCAGTGACATGACAACCACGGCCTACCATCGGTACCAAACCAAAGTTTAACCTTTGCAGCCCAAAACTCATGACAAACGGCCCAAGTAACAAAACCATCATCTCACAAGCGCAAAAAAATAAAACAGAGAAAGAAAAAGAAAAAGAAAAAGAAAATATTACTTTTATGATAAAGCGCAGGTCGTTGAACGCGGAACCTGCAAAGTTATTCCATCTTTCTGAAAGCAACATTACCGAACCAAAATCCTTCCCCTAACGTAACCCACAAGCCCCCACGACCCCAATAAAGAAACAAAGAAAAGCCCCCAACGTGGATTCCTTAATCACCATGAAGGTTCCAGAAACACATCCTCAGAACACCCCAAGATTCTAGGAATCACCAAAACCTACCCCCAACAGCAGCCAGCGGCCAGCAACAAGGGAAACCCTCTTCTTCTTTTTCTTCTTCGTTTACTAGTTATATGGCCACGGTGGCGCGTGCGATCCGCTGTGAGCTACTGTCCAGTAAACCTGGGGCTACTCCTAGGAGAGAATTGGGTGGTCAGGTTTCGGTGCCGGTTCAGAGAGTGAAAGTGGGCGAACCTGAGAATGGAAAGATAGTGTTGCAGCCGAGGTTGTGTACGTTGAGATCGTATGGCTCGAATCGAGGTGCGGTGATGAAGACGAGAAGGGAAGAGGGTGATGAAGTGTCCCCCTTTTTTGAGACGTTGTCGGAGTATATTGAGAGTTCCAAGAAGAGCCAAGACTTCGAGATCATCTCTGGTCGACTCGCCATGGTGAGTAGTCCTCTGCTTTTATGCCTTGTACAAGAGTTTTGGTGGTTCTGCTCATGACGTATGATCCGACTTTGAACAAGACCTGCTTGTATTTCCATGTAATTTGTTTCCTATGATGTCTTAACCAGTTGGAACTAAAAGATTTTGAGTATAGTAACAGAAAGTTTGAGCTTTGAATTAACTGGCAAACAACCAATTTTTGGTGAGTTTTATTTGTTTAGATCAAATTAATATGCCTTGTGTTATAGGTTTGGACAAGGGGATTGTAGCTTGGAGCCTTCTTTTGAAGAGAGATGTGGGTGTAAATTAAGTTTTACTTATACCTTTTTCCTCATTTTGTTGTTGTTGTTGCTGCTGCCGTCCCTTCCCTTCTCAATGCCGGGTTATGTCCCATGGAACATGAATCTTGCTTTGATTTATCGTGATCCAATTTCTTCCAATGGACCAATATAATAATTAAAATTTATTGTCTATTGGATCAGCTATTTTTCCAAGCGGTTTTCAATTCTTTATAAAATTAAACCAACTGTTTGAATTACGCATTAAAGCATTTGATTTATTCTTTGGTACATGATTAAGCAGTTTTCAATTTTTTTCCAAAAAATTATATAAGAAAAACCCTACTGCTGGATTACACAAACAGTATGGTACATACATGTTTTCAACTTATAGCAGTGGAAAAATTATACCATCCATTAAGATTCATTATGCTATCTTCTCAATTCTAAAGCGTTGTCTAACGAGTAAACAATCTAATATGGTTCACTTGTTGCAGATTGTGTTTGCAGCAACAGTAACAACAGAGTTTGTGACCGGAAACTCCCTATTCAGGAAGATGGACTTCCAAGGGATTGCTGAAGCTGTTGGTGTGTGCCTGGGTGCTATGGCTTGTGCCGCAGCCTTTGCTTGGTTATCTAGTGCTCGGAACAAAGTAGGTCGAATCTTTACTGTGAGTTGTAACTCATTTATTGATTCAGTGATCGACCAAATCGTGGATGGATTGTTCTATGAAACTGATTTCAGTGACTGGTCCGATGATGTTTGAAACCGGGAATTATACTTCTATATATATAGTTATAAAGGAAAGCAGGTTCTCCCGTTCGGAGAAATTGTATGCGGAGATCCCGGAAACCAGAGATGTAATTAGGTTTTTCTTAGCATAAATGTTATACAAATAGAAGGCATGTAAACGAGGGAGGTGGGTTCGTTACTAATTCCTGGTGTTTGCCTATCTTATGTGAGATCAATTAATTTGTATAAAACATGTATGAATTATAGTAATCAACTATAGATTTTTGCTTAAATTGGGGGTCGAGATTTCTTGCTGTGTCCTTTTTTTTCTTCTGCTGGAGAATGCCCTTTGCACAGTTATATCAATGGGGTCCTTGTAACTGGACGATGGGAGGCATGACCTGGATGATTGATTCCTTACGTTGAGGTCTGGTTATCTCTGTCTTTTTACCTCCATCTCTCCTGTAAAATTGCTTGTTTAGTCGCCTTTGATTCTGGATTTACAAGTCAATTCCAATTTTTTCACTTCCCCAAGACTCCTTGGGATCGGGTCGAATAGAAAATTAGAAATCATTTTGGTAAATGTTGGGGCAGATTTTCCCAGGAAAGATTTGGCAATTTGATTTTGAATACAAAAGCCTTGGATCTTGATTTGTGGACCTGGTCACACAGTTCCACTCCCTTAACTACACTTGTCTCAATCAACTGAACTCTTTTTGTCATTTAATACCTTGAGCTTAAATGCAATTAACCAATTTAATATCTCATTAACCTTTGTATTACTTTCTTAATTCAATTAGTTACCAACAGTTAATGACGCTCTTTTGGACCAAAATTTGAGGGCCAACGCCAAACTCTTACGAAACTTGTGAAAAAGCAGCCCATCACTGCACGTGCATCCCATGCTTTAAGTCTGCTTAAACTTGCTTTAAACAGCTTATTTCCTCTTTTAACTCGACCGTCCACGTGCCAAGCTGCTGAGCCCCAGCTACATTTCTTACATGGTATCATTATTATAAAATTTTAAAAATATAAAAAATAATAAATTACATCATTCTAAATCATGAAATTTTTAAATTGTTTATTAAAAGATAATTCAGAATTCTTGATGGAGATTCAATAATAGATAACACCATAAAGAAATTTTCATAATAAGTAATTATTCAATTGACACACTGAATATAAATGAAAGAGATTCTTTATTGATTTTCTTACCAAGGAAAGTAGACAGCCTAAGTACTTTCAGTCTTGATTAATTAACTCTTTAATGTCTTGATTAATCAACTTGTCCTAACAAAGGGATTAACCCTTAGTAATTGTCCTATAACTCAGTGGTTATGAAAATTAAATATAGAAGATTTGTTAAATTTTCATTTCACATCAATATATTTATAGTATAAAACTTAAACCATGAGATAAGATAATTATCAAAATTTTATTTAAAGAAAACATATTTCATTTTTAGATATAAATATGTCATCATTAATATTTATCTCTGTCATCGTTTATGTTTATCTTTTATTCTTATATTAAGCTTTATTTGTATGGTGATTAAGATTTATCTGCACCTTGTTATGTCATCTTTGTTCTTATCTTCACATGTTGTGTCAAGTGTTGCTATTTGTAACTCCAATACATTATACATTGATTGATTTAAATTATTGATTCACTTCTCTCTCGTCTCTTCACATTCCCTATTCACAAATGCTTGCCGATTGTCATGGCAATTCTTAGCGCGCGCTCTCTTCTCTCCTCGTCTCCTTTCCCTCCTAAATCCCGTCACTCTTCATCTCCACTCTCTCCCTTAACTTACACGCTCTCCTTCAAACCTAAAACTGTAAGGCCTCAATCCCTCAATCATAGCTTTCGTAACGACGCCGTTTCCTCCTCTTTCACTGGTATCGAAGTCGGTGAGGACTTACCGCTTGATTACGGCGATTGGTTTCCCAAGCCCGATCCAAACCAGCGGAGACGAGCCGGCATTTTGCTCCACCCGACGTCGTTTCGTGGACCCTATGGTATAGGCGATCTAGGCGAACAAGCTTTTCGTTTCATTGACTGGCTACATTTAGCTGGTTGCTCTGTTTGGCAGGTAACTCCCCCTCTTAAACGCTCCGTTTCGTTTCCCTGCTGAGTCAGAAAATCAGGGAAAATGAACTTGAAAAAGGTTCAGGCCAATGGATTTTGCTTTTAACGTGGCTTCATTTCATTGGTCTGTTTTCAAGTTAAGTTTCTGCATTTGAATTATTTTCCGGATTAAGGCTGTCCTAACTCATGCTGACATGGTACTTTTTAATGATACCTAGCCTCCTAATTTGATGGGCTACAATGGAAAGAAGGTTATTTTATAATTTCTCATATTAATGAACTAAATTTATTGTTAATTCAGGTGCTTCCCCTTGTTCCTCCTGGTGAAGGAGGATCACCATATGCAGGCCAGGTGCTGCTTTATCTAATCTCTTCTTAGTTAGTATTTTCTTTTTCCCGTTTCAATAAGTAATGGATTCTGCCATTTTAGTGAACTTAAAATGCTTAAGAAAGAAGAACCCTGAAATTCTGGTCAATTAGTTGTGTATGCGCGCGTGTATGTGCATGTGTGTGTGTGTGTGTGTGTGTATTCTCTTAGGTGCTGTATGGCATTGTGTAATTTTCCTTGATGATTGTTTCTTCAGGATGCAAATTGCGGTAACACTCTCTTGATTTCGCTTGAAGAGCTTGTTAAAGATGGCTTGCTAACAAAGGAAGAGCTTCCTCAACCAATGTGAGTAGTTTTTATTATTTTATATATTTGAGTTAACGGTTATGTTTGAGATAAATTGTATGACCTTTTATTCACACCTATGTTTTATGTTCCTACCATGTTGTTTGTGCAGTGATTCTGACCGTGTGAACTATTCTATCATTGCTAACTTGAAGGACTCTCTAATAAGTAAGGTAAACAGTCAAAAATCAGAAGAAGCTTTATTGCTTTTATTTTTTTAACAAAAAAAGAAAAAAGTTCCTCTTGCTATGTTAGAGCCTTGAATATCCCAAGTGATCTACTAGGATTAGCACATAGGTTTAGACTTAGCAGCAGCTGCAATTTTTGTTTCGCTGACAGGATCTCTATGACTACACTATAAATCTACATCTGCCTGTAATTGAAGCTATTAAGAGATTGTGGAATTCATGGAATGTCAACTATAAAAATGAGAGCTAGGCGATTCTTAACAAATTTGAATGTGTTTCATCTACAAGGTCACTCAGAGTTCCTTATATGATGATTTTCCCCTTTACTTGGGTTGCAAGTACAATTCTGTGTAATTTTCTTTAAAAAAAAAATTTATTTTTTTTTTTTTTAAGTGAGATATATTTCTTAGACTAAAGCATAAAAGGAAAAAGTCACTAAGGAAAGAAGGTTCACAAGGTTTCATGGATCACACATTACCAATCAGTGTTGTAAATACTACTTAGCATGAATCTTACTTCTCTATTGGTTAAATGTGCCAAATCCAACTCACATTATCATTTCTTAGGCTGCAGAAAGGCTCCTCTTACGTGATGGAGAAATTAAAACTCAGCTTGAGGCTTTCCGTAGAGATCCTATCATATCAAGTGAGATATTTATATTCCATATAATTGCATACTATCATATTCCTGTGTACTTATAATAGTTGTTTCCATATTCACTGAGCTTCAATCTGCATTTGACTGTTTAAATTGCTATATGAATTGGTGGAGTTTGTGAGTGGAAGGTTTTTGGTGAAAAGAAGATTGGTTTTTTTGGGATTGAAAGGGGAGTATTTGCAAGACTCTGTTTTAAAGATCATTGAGGGTTGACAAAATCTCTTCACGTTATCTTTTTCTCTTTTGCGTACATGCTAGAACAAAATTTTGGAAAAATACATTGTGCCTAGAACAAATTTGCTTTCTCATTCTTAAATACGTTGTTAGTCATGTGATCATTTAAGCTCGTTTTTTATTTTTAATTTTGTAGGCTGGCTTGAAGATTCAGCATACTTTGCTGCCATTGATGACAGTTTAAAAGCATTCAGTTGGTATGACTGGCCGGAACCTCTGAAAAATCGCCATCTTTCAGCCTTAGAAAACATATACCAGGAGAAAAAGGATTTTGTATGATCTGGATCTCTTTCAATAAAAATATTGGCTCAATAGTCTCCTATATTAGCTACCTACTTTAGACACTAATATCGTTACCTGCTCTTGCTTTCACTTGGCAGATAGATCTGTTTATTGCTAAACAATTCCTATTCCAAAGGCAGTGGCAAAAAGTTCGCAACTATGCACTGATGAAGGGAGTCAGCATAATGGGAGACATGCCCATTTATGTAGGTTATCACAGTGCTGATGTATGGGCAAATAAGAAACATTTTTTGCTGGTGAGGAGTTTATTTATGTGTAAGGAAGTGGTAATAATTTAACCATGCTCAAAAGCATTCAATTTTTGCTGCTGGCTACAAATTTCTATATTCTTTTTGGCAGAACAGGCATGGTTTTCCTAGGCTAGTCAGCGGTGTTCCTCCTGATGCCTTCAGTGATACTGGTCAGCTATGGGGGAGGTTTGTACTACCCTGAAACAAGCATACATGTCTCTTGTTTAAAAAATTATTTTTCATAAATATTATTACCTGTGCTTATAAAAATGAGGTATTGTTTCGTTGTCCATTCATTCTGAAGACATATTAGAAATCCAATTATATACATGTGACAATTGCTTTATATCTTTTCTTCTCTACTTTTTCTCCCATGTATTGATCTTAATGCTATGCATGTCTATTTTTGATTTTCTAACAAGGTTAGGGTCTTGAATACAATATTTTTTGACAGTTGGTTAAACTCTCAAATGATTTTAGTCGTAGTATGTAAACTTGAATCAGATACTTTCCTTATCATGATATTCTGCACTAATTTTCACTTATTTCACTTCTGCAATTTTTACTTCTATACTAGCTTCTTTCTACATTAGTCATTTTTAATTAAGGTCATACTTCAATTCAGCCCTCTATATGATTGGAAAGCCATGGAGAAAGATGGATTTTCATGGTGGATACGCCGCATTAGACGTGCACGAAATCTATATGATGAATTCAGAATAGACCACTTTAGGGGATTTGCTGGCTTTTGGGCTGTCCCTTCTGGTGAGATGTTGTAAACTATACTGAGCATGGTGTTTTCTAGGAATGTATGTTACACTGAACTGACATTACTAACACAATTAATCTATACAGAAGCAAAAGTTGCAATGGTTGGACGATGGAAGGTCAGATTTCTGTCATTCTTATCATGTTAAAATTTTCTTTAATTGTGCCAGTATTCACTACTGATATTATTTCCGTGATAGTAGGCTGGCCCTCAAAAATCCTTATTTGATGCTATCTCAAGAACGGTTGGAAAGATTGATATCATAGCAGAAGATCTGGTATGTTCCACCAGAGAGAATATGAAGAGTTTATTTTTATCCTTCTTTTTCTGTTTTGTTAATGTAGTTTTAGCTTTTTACTTATTTTTGTACCTCTTCTGCAAGGAAAGTGAGTCTAAATACTTGATTCTTAAATAATTCTTGACCTGCCTCTGATAAAAGTTTTCTTTTCTGGGGGCATTTCAGCAACTTATATATATTGAGTAAAATATAACTTGTCTTTGGGAGGGTTTTTATATTGATACTTGATTCTAGGGTTTTTATCACATGGCAGGGAGTTATAACTGAGGATGTAACTGAGCTTAGGAAATCTATTGGAGCACCTGGAATGGCTGTTCTCCAGTTTGGTAATGTGTTATTTCTGATGAAATGTAATGAAATATTTTTAATATTTTTGACTGCCTTTTAAATTTGCATTCTGTGATGTTGTAGTTTTCTCCCATTTTCTCTTGGTTTAGGTTTTGGCAGTGACTCTAGCAACCCTCATTTGCCTCACAATCACGAGCACAATCAAGTTGTTTACACTGGAACTCATGATAATGACACGGTAAAGCTCCTTCCAGAAATGGTTCTTTGTTAATGTCTTACTGTATTGTTGGTTTCTTGGTGGGTTGAAAGTTGAAATGATGCATGGTAGGAATGATCTGAAGAAATTAATCTATTTATTAAATATAATTTGAAATGAAACAAGCAAAATATTCTGGATTTGGAATGATGGAATCACCATAACTTTTAAGACAAAATCTATCAAAGGCAAAAACTCAAAAATATATGCATGTTCTTCTTACTTCAATTTTCAGCAAAAATAATCAAAATAACAACCAAATATACAACAATGCCTTTAAGGAATTGCCCATGTCTGGAATCATTACATGGATTTGAATAAGAACTATGAATTCGATTGCCACAAAAAAGAATGTCTGGAGCAAACATCCAAATTTAGGAAAATGTCTCAATTTTAGAATATATTATATGGAGAAGGATGAGTAGGGAGATTGGATGAGAGAGATGAGTGAGAAATTTGAAATTTGATACTTCACTTTACTCATAAATTTTGGCTAAAATCATAGTGTTGTTTGGTTTGACAAAAATATTTTATCAAATTTTTAGATATTGCATGCTAATGGTTCGTTTGATTGTCTTGTAGATCCAAGGTTGGTGGAACAATATAATGGAAGAAGAGAAATTCAATGTGAGTTTTCTTTGCTATGCTAAAGCCTCTGAACAGGTTTATCTCTTCATCTTTGTCTTACATCAGAAATTTTGTCTCAGGTATTGAAGTATCTTCATATCACTGAAGAAGATGAGATCTCATGGGCACTGATCCAAGCTGCGCTTTCTTCAGTAGCTCAAACGGCAGTCATAACCATGCAGGATGTTCTTGGGCTAGGGAGTTCTGCCAGGATGAACACTCCTGCAACAGAGGTAAAGATATCCTTAAACATGTGCATTGAAACATACAATGGACTTGTGGTGCCGTCTAGAACATTGTTAATTAAGAAATAGACCATTAATGGTGGTTTAAATTTTCAAGGCCCTATCGAAGATTAGAGGGAAAATGTGCAAAACCTTGCCCCACATGATTGGATAATTTGAATTTTGGTGCCCAATCTCAGAATTTCATTGCCAATTTTAACTTAGATCACCAAAGTTTATTGTTCTTCCTTTGTCAAGCACATTTTGTTATTTGTGCATGCGATTTGCCCACTTCTTGTCTCATAGTGTGCATTGACTCTGACAAAAACCATGATGATTCTTAGAGCTGCAAGCTTTTTTTAGGTTCTTATCCTTTTCTTTTTTGAAGCACTTATTTTTATCATAAAGAGAAATGGGCCAAAAGGCAAAAGAAAGTAATTTATGCATTTTAAGTTTCACATACTAAAACAAAGAAGAATTTTAAACAATCTCGTTGTGACTTTTTCTCCGATGCATTGTGTGCAGATTGGAAACTGGAGTTGGAGGATACCTAATTCCATGGGTTTTGATTGCTTGGAGACAGAAGCACTGAAATTAAGAGATATGCTTTCCATGTACAGGGGAATGTAGTTCTGTAATCCTGAGTGTTTACACACGCTTGTAGGTTTGCCACTGTACCATGAGTCTAAAAACAATCTATTTAGTTTTGAATAAGTTTGTCTTTGAATAATTGAGGTTTTAGAGTTAAATTAATTAAAAGGTTCGTACCTTTCTTTTATGTCTGGTCAGTAATTTCTTGTTTTCTAATATGCTTATGAAATTGATTGCTACTCAAAGTAGAGAAGGCAGTCACTAGCTTCGTGAAGGGGGCCTGAAACTGACTCTCCGCCTCCAAACCTTTGCTTCCAGCTTAAACTCATGACATATTGCTGGACGTTATGAGTAAGAATCTTCCTGTGATCGTTTAAGCTTTTGAATTATGGAAATCAATTTTACTTGTGGAAGTTTACTGGACCTACTGCTAGTAAGCCTTTAGTAGCATTCTTGGTCATAACAATGCAATTATGCAAAGTGTTACAAATGTGCCTCTGCATCAGCATGTTGAGAACTCTACTTAATTTGCACTGTGAATGAAATTTAATAGTGTAATTGTCAAGCTTTTAACTACAGAAGGTGAAAAAAAAATGACACCAAGTGATCATAAATCGATGTGTAGACTGCATGTCAAGCAGAATTTGTGCTTGGTATCAGTTGTTTTCGTTTTAAAATTGTTTGCACACGCCATTTTGGGTATTTTTAATTTTCAAGATTCATGGTATCGAAAATGAAATTAACAAAAAACAAATAGGAAAAATCAGAAGATTTAGCAGCCTAGGTGGTAATGTGGAATTCAAGCACAGTGCAATCTTCCCAATTTGGTACTTGGAAAACAATATGGAAGTTATAGGTAAAGCTATGCAGCTTTCTCAATTGCTTCGATGCATTCCAACACGGTCGACTTCTTTGACATGGCTGACATCAAGGCTTCATAAATGACCTTGTTGTTTTTCAAGAGGGATCCAGCAAACAGGACCTGTATTCATTTTACCAAACATTAGCTTTCAATTGTTAAAGATTACAATAAAACGTCAGCCAAAGCTTCAAATGAGAACTAAGAAAGTTCAAGCAAATATATGAAGCTGATGGGGAAATTGTCATGGTAGCATTTTGTATCAAAACTAGTCATGCGTGCCAATTCTGAATTTCAGTAACTTACTGCCCATCTAGTTAGATTTTGCTGCTGATCATTGCTAAGTTTTGGGTTGCTTCTGTTTATGAATCTCTGCAGAGAATGCAGACCAGAGTTTGTTGCATAAAAGGGAAGCCAATAATACAAATCAGTTCAAACTTTGGCAAACGTTTGTTTTCAAAACCTGAAGCGTGAAAAGATCAGCAGATTGACCAATCACTTTGTCATATTTCAGACCCTCTGCAGCAAGTCCAGCCATAGCGACAACGGCCAACCTGAGATACACAGAGAGATTTAAGATTAGTTTATTAGATTTTTAAGATTACGAAAAGAAATACTTGTATGATTGAAGAAGGCTTTCCTTGGAAATGAAAATTGCAATACTTCAATTGGGAGGTCGTTTTCAGGCTGGACAGGCCGATGATTTAAATTAGAATCACCAGGTCCTGGCTACAATATATTATATATGACAAATAGCATGGAATGGCAGCTAAATTTTTGAGGCTTCATGCAGTATAATATCAGATTGTTATAAAAGCAGAAGAACTCCAGAAGTTAAGCAGCAATTTAGCTTAGAACGGGTTATAATTCTCATCACAGTATAGTTCTATGCAGGCAAAGACAAACAAAATATTGATCCGAGTATATATAGCTTTCAAATGAGTACCTGTCAAGCAATTCAGCATCAAGCTGTCCACTGTATATAAGCTTTTCCAGCTTTTCATCAATGAGGTTGACATGTTCCTTACCAATATCCAATGAATACCCCAGGATAGGAAGGCCCAACAAATAGGCAACTAAGTTCAAAGAGGAATTTTCTCATTAGAAAAGCAGTTGAATCGGACATATCAATGCATACATGAGCGTATGTCATATATTCTGTGATGCGAGAATACTTAAAAAATGAGCCGCTTCATGTCTAGCTATCCTTTCCTGGTAGTCAGGGAAGAATGATGAAAACCCACCAATAGCAGCTTGAAGAAGTCTAAAGGAGAAAATTAAGATGACTGTCAGTTTAGGAAGCAAAATCTTGACTGACCGTGTGAATTGTGAAACTCTGCATCATTATGACTTACCCTGGTGAAATGCTCCCCACAGCCAAAACTATTAAAGAAATGCTCCCAATCAAATATGGTACAAAGAAGCCCCAATCCTGTAGCAACAATATGAACCAATCACCACTTAAAGCCAGAACTTCTCTACTCATACATATTACCTTTCCGGAGTCACACAGCTCCAACAAAGAAAATAATGATAGTACAATAACAATGCTATACAGGGACAAATAATTTTTCTTTAATTCTAATAGAAATATAACAGATAAAGAAAGATATTGCAGTTAAATGAGTCAGTTGCATTCAACAAGTGTTTGGTAACTTGATACCTAATACACTTAGTGCAGCTAAAGTTAGCAATGGTAATCCCAATCCAAAGATGCACAAAGAAATGGGAGCCGCAGCTTTGTTGATCTTTAGCCTGGCCCTGATGCACACTTAAATTAAGTGGTTTTAGGCATCTGTGCAATTAGGGAAGTAGCCAGACCTGAATTAACCAAGACAGAGTACAAAACCAACTTGTCTGTGCAGAAACTGTCAGCAGTACTAAATAATATGCAGAAACTCATTGTAATTTAAATGACAAGAACAACGGGAAAGATTCTCTTTATAAAATGCTCTACATCCCTCACAATTCTGTTCCATGATGTCTAATGGATGATGCTGGTAAGGCAAACAATTGACAAGCAGTACATTCTCTTCCCTTTAACATCAATAGAAACAAAAGCTTCACTTAATTGTCCAACAAAATGAAATATGGTGAAGTCATCCTATCTCTGCGCTCTTGCTTGTATGATACATGCCAAAGAAAGAGAAAATGAAAAGCAAAGAGATATGACAATATAGCTAACATTACCCCAGGAAGCTGGCCAGCAAGAAGTCCCAAAAACCCTGTTGTCCCGACCACTGTAAAAAGAAATGCTGCCTGTACAACTGAAAGATATCAAATACATGAACAATAATTTGAAATTAACGTTTTAACCATTCCAAATGTGGGATTCACATTGAAATTCGAATGGAAATTTTGTCATCAAAATTGCAATCAGCTTATAAGATCAGAAGTATAACAAAGAACTGTCTAATCCAGATATAGACATCTAAATTATATTAGTACAACTTATCAAGTTGAGTTTCTGGTTAGGACTTTAAATGTCAAATTTTGGAAAAGTGCACTGTGAGAGCTTCTCAGCCTATTGACAGTTCAATATCAGAAGTGATAGTGGTACAAGTTGAACGCTTGAAAATTTTTGGGCAACTGTCCAATACCAGCAGGTGCTCAGAACTGGAAGGTGAATGTGGTGATACTTACATCATTTCTGACACTTGGAATTGCAAGAGTTTCCGCATTTTTAATTCCAAGGGAGGTCAGCTCCCGAAGAGATGTCTGATGCAAAGAAAGTCAAGCCTTTCATTTTCTGACCAAGTGGACATGTAACCAAATATTCACAGCATTGAACATATCTATGATATACATGTACATGTATGCATGCGTTTGCAGGCTAATATTTGAGTAGCACTTTCCCACAACGTCAGACTTGATATGGAGACTGACCGTACGACGTGAGACATACGGCTGAGAACTCCATTTCTTAGCCCATCCAACTTCGCTCAGCTGATCAAGTGCCTCTTTAACGGCATCACTGTCTTTCTGTAACAAATATGTAGCTGTCAATAACCTAATTACTTGTCAACAACAAAAGGACTTGCAATTCAAACAAACAGATGACTTCATCATGTTAATAGTGACATCTCTATTCAAAGAGAGGATTTCATACATGATGAGTTTTCATTTAGATCACAGAACAAAACATGAAAAGGAGAGGAACATTCCAAAATCTGCTTAACATCGAGGGGTCGGCTTCTTGTTTATATTACTAAAAAGAAATGATTTTTAATAAGTAGCAAAGAAAAGACCACAACACAAACTTCCTCCAGACGCATGAAAGATTCCATATTGGCACAGTTTTAACTGCAACACTTCATGACCCATTGAATGAAGCAAGATCAAATTTTCCTTTCCTCCATCAAATGGCTCCATTCAACATAGTTACAGTAGTTCATTCAGCAATCATCATTCATTTTTGAACCATAAATTTCGGAGGCTACATGCAAATGACATGTAAGTAATTAAAAAACTTAAAACAAGAAATCAAACAGTCAGTTGGTTTCAAGCAAAGGGAAAGGCCGAGAAGAACCTCGGAAATGGCGGATTCAAGGGTCTTGAGATCAACATCAGGAGCAGCAGAAGAAGATGATGCTCTTACTTGCAGGTCTCTCCTGGGACTTAGCTTGAAACACTTTCCGGACTGCTTAAAATAATAATGATATTTAAATGAAAGCGTCGAGTTTGTCAGAGATGCCATCGTATTCATACTCAATAATAATAATAATATAGTCTTTGTTGTTGTCTTTTATTTCTTCCTTATTTTTGGGTTTCACTTTTAGAACTGAGAAACGAAAGAAATTTGCTGCAATGGACTTCCCAGTGTGGATAAGGTTCGCGGGACTTTGGCGCCATGAGCCGTTTCTTTTGCACCACGTTGGCTTCATAACAAAATTTTACAATAAAAATAATAAAATTACAATCAATTAATAATTTAGTTTGTAGCCCTTGGGTTGGTTTAGGTTAGGTCCATCAGAGCTGAATCTCTATGGGTCTTCGGCCGCTCTTGGCCCAGTTTCGGCTATGGTTAAAGTCTAACCCAAACTTTAAACTTTTGGGCCCTCCATTTAGGCCCAAAATTCCTTGTAATGCTTGAGTTTTATACTTTTATTAATATTTTATTTAAATTAGCGTATGAAGAAAAATTAGGACAAAGTTCCATCTTCAACTAATATCACTTAATGTTCTGTACAGATAATATTTTTTATTAATTATTTACGTATTATTGATTTGAGCTATAACAATATATCGATTTTTATTTTTATTTAGTACTACTTTTTAACAAGCAATAATTATTCGTGAACTTTTCTTAAACAACTATGCCAACTCTTTTAAATTAAATAAAAGAGAAGTAGTCAGTGTTTTTAATATTGAAGGGAGAGGACCACTTGGTTTTAATCATAGATGGTATTTTTTGGAGGATTAATTTGACGAATTTAATCGTAAATTAAAATGTGATTCTCAAAATTTATACAAATTATATTGTTTTTATTTACGGTTAAAATCAGTAGGACATATATAATTAATTAGAGGACTACCAAAATAGCTAAACCTAATTAACAAGGGCAAAGCATTCTCTCTCTATACATATATACTGCGTTTCAAACGAAATTTTATGAAACAAAACTCCAGTTATGGACAAGATATAAAAGGCATCCCCTCAAGCCATGACCATATATATATGCACACATGAGAAGGGAGCAAAAGTTAGAATCTTAAGTCTCAATCCTCATAAAAAGGATTACAATCATTATGCTAGACTACATTCAAGAGAAGAGCATTTCTATAGTTTAGTGATATATTTTTGAATCAGAAAGGCCACACATATGCTTGAAACCATTGGCCATAGATCTGCTCGGATGTTTTAAGTTTATTTAACGTGAAAGATATCATTGGGTAAACAAGATGAGAAAGAATTAGGATATTTCATTTTATAAGAAGAAGCTGAACGTACCTTTTTAGAGTTGCCTCTCTACTCTAGAAAGCAGAAGTTATGTATGTGTCAAATAGGATGTTAAAAAGTAGTTTTTAGCTTCTATGAGAATGGAAAACCAGCTTCCATGTGCTAAAAGCTGAAACTGCAAATTGGAGTTTAAATATGTCAAAAGGTCAATATGTCAGTTTTTTTTTGTTGATTGGAATTTCGATTTTCACTGGTAATAGTAAAATTGAGGTTTGGAAGATGGTTTTTTTTTCTTTTATTTGGTCGATGTGGTTGTTTCATAATGATGTGATTTTTAATGGGAAGTTTTGGTGTTTAGTGTAGACTTTTGAGCTTGTTAAAGTTAAAGTTGCATGGTGTTGCGTGGTGGGCTAGCACTGGGTTGGATTTTATAGTGCCTCTTCTGATGATATTTCTAGATGTCCACAACTTGTAAAGTCTATTAATAATAGAACTAAAAAGCTTAGGAAGATGGTTGAGTGGAACAAACTTAAGTCTGGTCAATTGAAATTTAATGTGAATGAGGTTGCGAGAGACAATATGGGGGAGTTTGGTATTGGAAGAGTTCTTAGGGATGATCAGGGTAGACCTTTTCTAATAATATTGGTGTGAGGGATGCGAATCAAGCGAAGGTATTTGCCATTAAAGAAGTTTTATTGATTTTTGTAGTTTTTAGGTGGGTGAGTTCTTATGCTTTGATCATTGAAAGTGACTTAGTAATTGCAGTTAAATAACCCAATTGTCCATCTGTTGCTCCTCGGAGAATGAGGAAACAGGTTCTCCATATTATACATTTGAAGAAAGCTTTAAAAGATTTGAATATACGTCATATTTTAAGATTAGCAAATGATGTTGTGGACAATCTTGCCAAAACTGGTGTATGCCGAGAGGGTGATTTGTTGATATTTCATAATGCATGAATCTGATTTGATGATACAGTGATTATGTCTTCTTGAAAGACTGGATGACTCCTAGGTACTGCTGACTATTGCTGACTTTTTTAAGTTATTTAGCAGCTACAGGGATTGTTTTGAGAGTTGGCTGATTTTGTATCCATATGCTTTCACTTAGTTTGGCCATATGTTTTTATTTTCTGGTTTGATATTCATCGGGGAGTTTGAAAAGTTTTTTTTCTGTATTGTATTTGGGTCCACGTGGATGATGTCATTTTGGTTTGGTGAGATATACATGGACATTTGTGGGTATATTGTCTAGTGTCTTGTGTTTTTCCATCGATTTGATGGTAGAATTTGCTTTCAGCTTAATAAAAGCATATTATCATTTTTCAAAAACAAAAAAAATTAGAGTCCAGTTTCATGGTGCAATGTACTTGTTGATAGTATGTATATATATCCCAATATTTTAGAACAAAAGTTGAAGAAAGGCAAGCACGCATCTGAATACAGACGACGTTCTTTTAGTGTGAATGCATTGCATGTTCTACAAGAAAATGGATGAACCTAGCTATATATATCTGTTTGTCCAGGGTAGCCGCCTTACATTGAACCTACAACACAAGCTTCGTTTCTTCTTTTAGGAATAAAGAGGATCTTTCGTCGTGGATCTATGTATACCAAGAACACGCAATCATATATAAATTAAAAAAGAAGGGCAATAAAAAAAATTGGATAACGAATAGGACGGAGATAGAGTGGGTCGTTAAACCAAATAGAGCCAAAATGCATGCATGCATAACTCTACTTGGTGTCGTTCACCGACGTTTTTGCCAAGAGGAGACATTGCGATGGCTTTAGACTTTTTTCATGATGTCAAGCCTTGAAATAAACGTGGGGCGTATTGGATAGGATTTCTGCATACAATTTAGAAATAGAAACAAACACCAGCAGTCTGAAATTGTTGTTCCATACGTATAAACATCAATTATTCCATTACTATACAAGGGAGAAACTATGGGTGAGTCAATAGAAGACAAGTTCAAAACTTCAAACTGGGGTCTCTATTTTCTTAAGGGGCCTTGAAAACGGTGGACTCTACATTTAATATTTTATATATATTTTCCACGATGGTGTAATTTTCTAAGTGAGGTCGACCATCTTGTCGGGGCAGTGAGGACAAGAAAAAGAAATCCTTGGTTCTGGAAAGTAATGTCCAATGGATGATTCTTGGAAGGTTACTTAGAACTGAACAGAATTAAGGATTGAAAATATTAAGAATGGGGAAAGCCAGGGTATGCCTTTGTTTGCTTCCTTGTGGCGGACAAATATTCTTTGTTTGCAATTAATTTGATTTAATTTATAATCTCCTTTTGACTTGCTTTTATCCCTTGGAGGATTTTTAAATACCTTTCTCTGGATTTGATTAGCTAATTATTATGTCACGATTACAACAAGGTTAAACCCTAATAGAGAGAGAGAGATATATATATATATATATATAAAGGACATTCACATCGACATACCACGTGATAAAACTGAGAGAGAAGGAAACAACTCTGCCTGCCCAACACATGTGGGCTGTAAATGTATAGTCCATGCAAAACCAACGACTCCTGATTTGGGGAACTGGAACAAAGATTGACCATTTGGCTAGTTGCAATTGCTTGACCATATTGCCTTCAAATCTTGCAATTAATTATGGTGGGGTTGCGCGATCGAGATCTCATAGTGTCCAATATCGTTGAATTTTACTCAATTAAACAATCAATGATGAGAGAAATCAATTGAATTTAATATAATCATTTGATCATGACATTGCAAGAAATAATTAAATGCTTTACTATTACTTTACAACCATGAGTTTAGTTGAAACTGCTTTGTTTTAGTATAATCCATATTTTCCATTTTCTTTCTTTAGACGTTGTGATTACTTTCTTAACAATGAAGTTAAGAAACTTGCATATATAAATTAAAAACATTACATTTATTTCATCACGTTAACATCAGCAGAATAGTTTAGTCCCTACCCACTCTGTTGGGCTTGGACACTTGCCTCGAACACGATTTGAAATATAAAAGAACATGTCTCTTCTCTTCTGTTTAACGTTGAACACGCCGATATAACATCAAATCAATGCGTACTAGCTAAATAATAACACTATCATTTTCGTACGGGTGTTGGTCGTCTGACATGGATTCCATTTTGACCGCGTCATAAGAAGGAGTTATTAATTTAATTACCGACCAATGATTACCTTAAACTTTCATCATTAGCTTCAAATTAATCACCTACTTTGTTTTTTTTTTTATCTTTTGTAACTCAAATCGTTTGCACCAATCTTATCTTTACTTCTCATACTTGAATACATGTTGAAGTTTGAACACATTTACATGAATCCAATTGTCATAAGGTAAAGATTTGGATAAAAATTAAATGATTAAAGAAATAATTGTCGGACAAAATCTTTCCTAGTTTGAACAGTTTTAAATAGAAAAACCATGTGAATGAAGGATTGGTTGGTGAAGCGTGCATGCTGGCTCTTGAAGGCCTCCCAAGAGCAAGTTTAGTTAGCCAACAAAACGAAAGAGAAAGAAATTGTTACTAGTATTAGGTTTTAAAAAAGAAAAAGAAATGGCACGCACTTCATCTCTGCAGCCATTGGTGGTGACTGCTCAGAGCTGACTCATTTTTAGTCTGTAAACATCTGCGAAGCTATTTGAGCAGAGCATGCAGAAGATTACTGGACAGCTGACATAGGTTCAGGTATCTCCCTCTAATTTGAAAAATCCATCCGCTTTCCCATGAGTTGGCGCAACCCCTGCAAAAAGCAACGACCCGCAATGACATTTCACGCTTAGCTCATACGTAGCTGCTGCTGCGGCTGCCTGCTGTGCTGCTCCTCTCTCACGAGCATACAAAAGAGGGACGTAACTCATGCCAGTAAATAATTGCCATTTTCACGTGCCTTTGTTTGCCTTTCCATTCTCAATTCAACACAACAGTCAAATATTAAATGTACGACTGGGGAGGAAGGTTTTGGCTGCTTATTATTATTAGTACTATTACAGTTTGCAAGCCAAAAAAACAAAAAAATGGAAAAATATCTACGCTGTTAACCTACAAAACGCTGGTTGGTAAGAACAGCCTGTATCCATCCATTGACGGTAACATGTATTGAAACGAAAAAACCACATATCGCTCTCCTAATTTGAGAATTAGTTTAACCCTTTTTTTAAAAAAAAAAAAACAGAACAAAAAAGAAGGCAGAAGAAGGACGAAGAGGACGTGCGCGTGATATTATGGTGTACTGTAATGCTACTGCCCAGAATCAAGATCAAATCGTACGGTCATCGTTGACGAATCTTTGGATGTGAATTGTGAATCCACCCGGTTTTACTTTTCTCTTGCAGCTGTTGCGTTTACTGAGACTGACAATTTCTGTTTCCGTGTTGAGTCGAGAGAGAGATATCAGGTCTTGGTATTTACTTGGATAGCGAGCCTAAACTGACATACTGCTACTTAGCCTTTGGTTGGTTCAAACCTGATAAACTTTCACAGGTAAAGAAACAATCCTTCTCTAGTTGAGTTCATATGTCTTTCCAAGTCAAATGACCATTTACATTAAAGATCTTTCCATTTGGACAGCTCACCCTACTTTAATGTCAACCATGGTCATGAATAAAAATCACAATACCTTAATTTCCATTAAGTTGAAGGCATTTAATGTCTGTTTGCCTTTTTCATTCTAGACTAGACTGTATTAGAGACGAGAACAACAAAGAGATTACTTAAATAAGTATTATATTTAATTAATTTTAGCATTCAAGCTTCGAAAAAAAAAAAGTTAAATTCCAACAATCATAGAGAACCTATATATGACAAGTTATATGCTTTTATAGCGTTACAAGCATATACAAAGTTCATGCTCTAGCTTTTGCAGTCATTAACTTTGCCGTCGGCGGAGGATAGCATTTGTTTTTTCTTATAGGCGGATAATATCTTTAATAGGTTGAATCTAGTCAAAATAATTAACTTACAAGTATGTAATATCTCGAGATACTTATATCTCTATAATAAATAGAAATGTTCAAAAATCGAATTATTAGTCTAAATCTGCAAGTTCAATCTATTTAAATCAAATTTGGATATATATTTTCAAGTTCAAGCATGACTCAATTAAGCTCGATTATATTGTTTTATTAATAAATAATAAATTTTAATTTAAAATATTGATGTCATATAATAAAATAATAATTAAACGGATTAAACCTAATAAATGTAAGATAGACTTTAAAACAAGAGATCCAATGAATCGAATCGACTTGATTCGATCCATAAAGACCTCTAATCATGATTAGTGATTGCAAAGTAGTTAAATATCCTTCTCTTTATATAGATCCAAGATTCACTTTAGAAATAGAAGATTCAATAAACTCGATTCAGCTCAACCCCATAAACACTTATAATCAAAAGCAGAGACAGACGGGTTAGTGGATCTTGTCATTTTAAAAATTTTAAAATTTTATAAACTTGTTATTAATTTTAATTTTAATTTTTAAAAATTTTATAATTTTATTTCATAAATATCGAATTTCTATTAAAACTGTTTTATAGATATTATTTTTATCCTCAAACATGAAATTCTATCTCCACCACTATTTTTAGTAGTCATGACTAGCGATTGTGCGTTATTTAAATAACCTTCTTTTTAGGTATATTCTATGTTTATACGCCCCACGCTACAGATGATTTTAGTTTTGGCGAAGGAATATGTATCTATATTTTATGGAGATAAATGAGAAATGTAGCAGTTCACGATAATACCACCACGCAATCCTCGCTGTGGATTCATCAAAATCTTATGACAACCGTCAACTGTAAAATATAATAAACAAATGCAAATTTAAGCGGAAATGAAAGAAACAACTGCATTTCATTTTATATTTTATGGTTGAAAATTGAGAAAAAAAAGGATGAGAACTGAATAATTTATTCTAAGCAAGTGCACGAAAAGAGCATGACGTCCTAAGTCGGTAAAATGTTAAGTCGATTAATTTCTGTGGATTAATTTGGGGAGAGGGAGAAGAACCGTTCAAGAGAGTGCTTCATTACTATTTAATTTAGAAGCCGGAATATACACTTATAACATATAATTCTAACAGATAAATCATGGAAACTTATCTTACTCATGTGATTAAGATTTATAAATTTACCACGCATCTATTTCGTTCAGTTATGCGACGGACTAAAATTTCTCATGTGCAGTATTTAGACATGTTCACCTATCAATGAATTAGCATGTTCACCTATCAATGAATTAAATTTGCTTTGTGAAGTTAATTAAAAACTTCCATGATCAAGAATATCGTATAACTTTGAAAATTCTTTTCTAATTAAGCCCAAGTTGGATTAGTTAATCTTGGAGTTCAATTCTTGCCAATTACTCCATTTCCATAAGCAAAGAACATTTGAAGTAATAACCAAGTACAATTATACACGAGGGGAAAAGAAGAGAGCTGCAAGCAACGACAGAATATAAATTGATCAAGTTCTAAATAAATACAGGAGCCCTCAAAAGCCCTCCCAAAACTGGAGCCCCCTACATGTCACTACCCTTAGAACATTTAAAAACAAAAATTAACACTATACTGCATATACAGGTTCCACATAAATCCAACCTTAAGATAACTTAAGAAAAGCACACCATATATGATATATTAGTCATAATTAGACCCTAAGAAAGGGGAAAACTAACACCCTAACTAGACTATTAGCAGCTAAGGCAAAACACTACCATCTCTTTGCACAGCAAGAGCATGCAAAGGAAACTTCATCTCACATGACAACTTCAAAACCTCGCTCAAATCAACTGGGTGACGAGCCGAATCCTCGACCCAGTTGAAATGATGCACCAACTTGGCCACCCAAAGGTTGACCGTGACGAGCCCAAGGTTCTTCCCAGGGCAAACCCTTCGCCCAGCTCCGAAGGGTGCGAGCCTCAAGTCACCGCCTCTGACGTCCACGTCAGCTTCCAAGAACCTCTCCGGCTTGAACTCGAGTGGCTCTTCCCATACGTGCGGGTCATGTGTTATGGCCCACATGTTCACCATGGCGGTTGTGTTGGCGGGAACCACCATCCCGTTGCTGAGCTGGACGTCTGACGTGGATAGCCTGGCCCACGAAAGGAGTGGCCCTGGGGGGTGGATCCGTAGGGTTTCTTTGACCACCGCCTGAAGGTAAGGTAATTTTGCTACGTCAGCGTCGGTGAGGGTCTTGTTTGTCGCCGCACTGTCAATCTCAAGTTGTAGCTTGACTTGTACTTCCGGGTGCAACACCAACTCAGCCATGACCCACTCGGTTAACAAAGCAGTCGTATCAGTCCCTCTAAAAATCATTTCCTGCATAACGTAACCACCAAGAACACAAACTCAGTGAGTGAACTCGGTCTTAGACATGCAAATAATTTAGAAGAAAAATACTATACATACTAACCCACAAAACAGCAATCATGTCATCTTCTTGGAGTTTCTCTTCGCCATCAAGAGAAAGCAAAACATCTACAAAGTCAGCATTATCAGACAGTTTTTTGGACTCACGGAGTTGCTGGTGTTGTTCGATGATGCCTTTGACGAGTTTCCTAACTCGGGGAACGAGTTTCAAGCAACGTTGATTGATGCGAAACGGGTCATAAAAATAACTTAGCCATGGCAAATAATCGGACCAGTTAAAAGCTCCCAAGAGTTCAAACCCTTCCTTCACCATATCCCTAAGCTCGTCCAGTTCTTTATTATTATTTTTCTGGTCATATCTTTTGCCAAAAACACTTCCCATAATATTGTTCAAAGCAGCAAACTGAAGGTGTTTTCTTAAGGAAACAAAGCCTTGGAGATTTTGTTCATTTGCTATGTCGCGCAGCATGATTGTGCAGTCTAGTTGGCGACCGGCTTCGTGTGCTATTATGCGCGTTGGTGCAAAGAGGTGGGACGAAGCTATTCTTCTCAAAAGCCGCCAATAGGTTCCATTGGGAGCGAACCCTATAGCTCGGCTGAACATAAGGCTCTTAGCAGACTGCTTGACGGGTCGGTCAGCGAAGTGAGGAGAGGTCAAGATTTCTCGAGCAGTGTGGGGATCAGAAGCTACAACAACAGGGGTGGAACCGAGGCTAAAAGCCATGAGCTTAGTGTTGGCTCGGGTCCAAGCCATGGAGGCAAGAGAACGGTGAGCCAAGCCGCGACTCAAAGTAAAGAGGCTACCAAATACAGGGAGACCCTTAGGACCAGGAATAGAGAGTCTGCCTTTTTGGTTCCTTCCATTCTTCCATGCAATTCCACCAACAGTAAAAGCCCATGTAAGAAGAGCAAGAGACAGAAAAGCCGTAAAGAGAGAGAACAAAATATACACATCGAGCAGGCTTTTGGATCCAAAGAAAGCTGGAAAAGTAAAAACCCACCAGGTTGTATCTTTTGAAACCAAACCCCAATCCATCTTCAAGGTCAAGGGGGGGAAGAGAACGAAAGGAGTAGAGTTACTATCACTAAAGTATAGAAGAGAAAGTTTTGTGAAGGATAGACAGAGAAAGGGGCATTAGATACTATATAAGAAGAAGTTGGGTGATTATTATTGTTGTTGATTAGGTAAAAAAGATTTGATGTGACAGAACTTATAAAAGGGAAAATAAAATGTGAGGAGGGGGAGAGTTACACTCGGACAGAGGAATCGATGAGAGGGAGGGGTTGTGAGTTTGCACGAGAGAGAGAAAGTAGCGTGAATATGTGGTGGGGGTGAGGAGAAACGCTATGGCTTTATATAATGCATGATTACGGGGTGGGAGGTGGGTTCTGGCAGGCTTAGCCGCAGCCTGCAGGAGAGCAGGGAGGGGCATTGAATGCGACCCCTGGATTTCAACGGTGCAAACGGAAAGAAAGACAGAGAGAAATACGGATTGAAAGTGCAATATGATGTGTGGAAATGCTAGGAGGGGAGGTACTAACACTTACGGCTCAAGTAACGCATCAACAGCCGTGACGGTTTCATTATGAATTTAATCGCAGCTAGCATGCGATGGATCCACGATCGCCCGCTCCCCATTCTTTTACTAGATGTACTCATGAGTTAATTGTAACTGTAATGGTGGGAGTAGTAGTTTCACACTTTTTCTGTGAAACGTTGTGGCATGCTATCTCTATGCATAACTTCAAAAGAATGGAAGAGACATTTAATTTGGCCATTCAGCCATCCATAGTATGTACATGCGTTCGAGTACTCACAAGGTACAAGGTATAATTAATAAATAAATAATTTTTATTTCTATTAATAGTCCAACAGTCAAACATTTTAACATTTTATCCTGCGTAAAACATAACTGTAATGAATTTTCTATTAAAAAATAATACTAGTTTTTTCTTTAGAGGTTAAAAACAATACTAGTTTTAACTTATACTATTTAGCGATTAGCACTTTCTCACAATGAATTTTGTCATATGATGTCTCCATGTAGTACCAAATAAATTCAATTTTCTTAAATTTTGAATCATATTAAATTTATTAATATTCTTTTGTCTAATTATCACGTTACACAAACAAAGAGACAATTACAATTTTTTACGATAAGTTCTAAATTTATCACTTTACCTAAAGTGATGTATTAAATTTATTAATCCATCTTTGAATAGGAGTAATATTATCATTAAATTTTTTAATTTAGTTCAAAAATGAATTCAAAAATTCTGTAAAATCTTGTTACAGAATCTTATTTTATCATAATTTTTTATCAATTTTTTTAAAAAAATGCAATGGAAAAATTACATTTAATCAAAGATGAATAATAGTTTTATTGCAGTTTCAATTCTTTGATACATACAACTATCCACGGATTTAACTCACTTTTCTTTTTCTTAATGGTTTGCATTAAAGTAAAAACAAAGTTATAAAAACTATATTATAATTGGAACAATTGATTACATGGTAATTAATTAACGGAATACACCTTTGAAGAGTCTATCTTCTTATAATTTGTTACATTATCCATTTATTTTCTTAGCAAATAAAGGATAAATAATCTCTAAGAACACATGAACATTCGAATCCTATCTCAACTATATAAGAACTAATTTCCCCTTGGACTGGCTTTTTGTTCATTTTCTGTAGCTTTAACAATGTCTATATATATATATATATATATATATATATATATAATTTATTAACTCAAGTCATTTACTTGCATAGGGCAGTAATGAAATTTTCTACAATTTTACTAGGTTTAAATTACATTGACTTGAAAGTCAACACCTGTATATTAAAGTAATTCTCGACGGTTTATTATGCATAAAATCTATTTGTGAGTTGCCACGTGCCTACCATGGCCTGACACATGACATCATTTACAATTTTCTACGTAATATCTAAACAATTTTTAAATCATTTTAAAAAATTTAAATAAATCATTATCTTTTATTAGTTCAATTTTTATATTTTTATTTTCAATTTTAAATTAAATAAATTTTATAAATAATGATTAATTTAATTATAATATGATTTATTATTTTATAATACGTAATATTAACATAACATATTTATGTTAATTAGTATATTATAATTAATAATACAATGGTATGTTAATTTAAAAATTATAACATAATTATATGAAATTTTTATTTATTGAATTAATATTATATTACTAACATATAACGTAATATATACTTTTTTAATTATTAATAATTTATTTATTTAACTTAAAAGAAAACTATAAAATTTTAATAAAAACACTAAAAGAAAGCTTTTAACGGTGAATCTATGGCTTTTGGGTGAAAATAACATATTAGAATATGAGAGAGCGCGGCAGAGAAAACAAAGTAACGAAGAGAGAGAGATTCGGGAGAGTAAGGGTTGTGCGAGAGGAAGGGATTAGAAAGAGAGAGAGAGAGAGTGGGGAAGGAGCAGGTGATTAGATCAGAGATATATGGAGGGGGTAGAAAGGAAGGAGGGAAAAGCAGGATCTTTTTAAGAAAACAGAACAAAAATCAAAGACTCCATCCCACCATAAATTCTGGAACCAAAACCATAAACCAAACTGACTATTAACAAACCATATTTAACTAAACTTTTCATCCAACAAATCACAAAAGAGAAACCGCATTTTCATCCCAAAAATCAACCATTAGCCTGCCGAGGAAGAAATCCTTTGGGCAGAGACAGGAAAGGAAAGAGGAAGGGAAACAGAAGAAAAAAGAGAAAGAAAGGAGAAGAGACAGAAAACAAATCAGAGAAATCAAAGGAAAAATGGGCTCAGTGATCAGAGAGAGAGAGAAAGAGCAGAGGAGTTCTTTTACTCAAAGATTTTCCAAAAATACTTGAAAGCCCCAAGAAAAAAATTTGAGAAAATGGTTGATAGATGGTTCGGGCTGACCCGTTGATGGTTTGTGCTGTAATTGGCGGCGACGATGATGGCGGAGAGTGAGAAAGGTGATGGAAGAGCGTCTTTTGAACTAGAAAAGCAAAAAAAATAAAATAAATCTAATTATCATAAATGATAAAATCATATATGATATTTTAAATAAAAAGCATATCAATCAGTTATTAATTTCATGATAATAAATAAAACATTATACAATTATTCTTAATATAAATGTGTAAATTGATTTTTATATGGTAAATAAGATATGCTTATACAAATATACACTTAACTAAATAAAATATCAAAATTATTAATTATATATTTATAATAGATGAAATCATATATTGGTTTAAAAAAAAAAACCTTATCAACCAACTACTAATTTCATGATAACAAATGAATTATAATACAAATGTTAAATTTGTTTTTTAATATTCTTTATATATTTTCTTCTAACAAAACAAAAAAGAAATGTATAACATAAAAATAATATACTTAAATGAAAATAAAATAAATAAGTTATGACATAGTATATGTTCTTATTTTATAAGAAATGATATTTAATGCATGAAAAGTATATTCATGCTTAAATTTTATTTTTTTAAAATGTAATTTTGTGAGGAGCAAGAGGGTGTTAGTAGACGTAGAAACAGCTGGCTTGCAGAAGCAGGAAAAGAGAGAAGGGGGTGCGGGTGCTCGCATCTCGAGGCAGGGATGCTGATCGGAGAGGGGTAAACGCGTGAGATGTCTCCCGCACAGTGATGGATCTGAGGGCGCACGCAAAGACATTAAATCCTAAAGTACGAAAGTACAACCCAACTATGCTTGGAAAGTTCTATAAAGCTGTCAAAGATGTTTCATGAATTAATTAATGAATCATTGTCAGAGTCAATCACAGAACACTAGATCCTTCTTTTTCTTTGTTGGAAAAAAACAGTGACAAGCAATTGTTTCACAAATATCTACCAATCATGTCCCAAAAAGACAAATTTTAGCTGGTACAATTTCAGTTATGGGGGAGGATTGGGGATGTCACTTGATATAAAGACCCCACAAATTGCAGAAATTTCAAGTTTGTTTAGTTAGAATGGATGCCTAATAAGACTTGTTAGCCATAATAAAGACCCAACAGATAGCAGAAACATTAATTTATTAGAGAGAATTTTTCCATAAATATGAAGACCAGTTTCCTCTGATAATGTTGGCGAAATCAAACAAAGTAATGAAAAGTTTTGAGAAAGACAAATAATAAGTTGCTGTGGGGAAATTTATTGCTTGGCTACTGGCAGAGTTCTTGGCTTTTGTTGATGGCACTTGTCTTTAATTTTGCAAGGGCTTATTTATGGGCAAAAATGGGCTTCAAACTTATTTTTCCTGCAATAAAACAATGATATTACGAGCAAAACAAGTATACAATGGAGGTGAAAGCGCTGACGAGAGATTGTATGGATGATCAATAATGGCCGTAAGTTTGCATTTTGCTTGAGATGTATCTGCATAAATTCTGCTTCTTATGACTACAGTCGTACGGTGGAGATTATGTATGCCCAATTGAAGCCAATGAATATGCATTTGGAGGGCTAAGTGTAAAACAATTTCCCTCCATCACACCTGTGTAGTGCATGCAGTAACGTTAGAGGAATGAGTGAGCGAAATGATTGATTCCTAGCCCTCGGCATGCGGTCTTGTGAGTACGAAAAAGGGCTTCCGATCCATACAACTTGAACCCAAGGTTTGTCACAGCTAGCGATGGGGGATTATGGCTGGATGGATCGTCTCTGACCTTAATTAGCTGCATGCATACCATGCAACGTGCCTCGATTAAACTACAGTCTCCACAAAGAGAATATTTGACGGAAAAGAGCTGCTATAATGGAGGTTGTTTCAATGGCTGCCTGCCATCTGGTTTCGAGCGAGTGCATGAGCTGGATGGATTGGTCTCGATCTTAGCGAGCTGCCATTTTGTGAGTGCATGAGAATTGAGTTTGTATTTGTTAATTAGTTATTATACATGAATATGCAGAGTGGGCTTCGTCTACATACTGTAGAATTGGATGGATTGGTCTCGATCTTAGTGAGCTTGCTCGGAGGCTTTAAGAACCTTTGAAAATTTGGCTTTAGGCTGATTCGAAGTTGACCCAATGTTGTGCTAAGATGGTCTGGCATAGCTTCCGGCTTCAGTTGATGTTGGCCCAAGCATTGCTAAGGTAGGTCCTTAAGTCTTCGGCCTCTCTTGATTTGGGCTTTGTTGTCGTAATCGTCCCTATGTTCTTAACAAGTAATCAATGGCAACTTTGGGGTTGCTTAATGAATAAATTATCAAATCAATATAAAAATATTTAGACGAGAATCACACTTGACAAAAACATGAACTTGAAGATCACAAAATGTCAGAACCTCTTCTTATCAATTATCATCAAAACAAAACCTTCCGTTTCCTTAGATTTAATTTAGTTTAACAGTCTCTTTTCAGTTCAACAATGGCTTCCTGAGAACTATAATTATTGAGCCGAAAGCCAGGCCAGCAACTGACAGTTAAAAGTAATAACACTCTCCCAAACTATTACTAATCTCTACCCATCAAAACTCCCCTACCCACCATCACCCATGTCCACGAGCACCACCGTGGAGCCAACGCCGCCCTCGTCGCTTATCCCATCCTTGCCAGACGACGTGGCTTTGAACATCATAGCTCGAGTCCCAAGATGCTACCACCCAATTCTTTCATTAGTCTCAAAATCAATGAGATCCCTCATTTCTTCCCCTCTCCTTTACACCACTCGTTCCCTCCTCAATTCTTCCCAACACTTCCTTTACATCTCTCTCCGCCTCCCCACCAGCCCTGTCCTACGCTTCTACACTCTCTACCAAAATCCCACCAAACCAAAAAGTCTCAAAAATATCCTCGTCCCTCTCCCTCTTATCCCTTCCACCTCCCTCGCCGGCTCCTCGTTCGCCTCCCTCGGCCACAAAATCTACGTTCTCGGAGGCTCCATAGCGGACATCCCTTCTTCACACGTGTGGTCCCTTGACTGCCGGACCCACACTTGGGAACCAGCTCCGAACATGCATGTTTCCCGCGAGTTTGCCGCCGCCGGAGTCGTTGACGGTAAAATTTATGTCATCGGCGGCTGCGTGGTTGATAATTGGGCTCGGTCGAAGAACTGGGCTGAAGTTTACGATCCCAAAACGGGGAAATGGAATGCGGTTCCGAGTCCCGTTGAAATCCGGTATAAATGGATGCATGCAAGCGCGGTTATTGATGGGAAAGTTTATGCAATGGCGGATAGACATGGACTTTGTTATGAGGTCAAAAGTGGGAGTTGGGGAACGGTGGACACTGATTTGGATAATGGGTGGAGGGGAAGAGCGTGTGTGATTGATGGGGTTTTGTTTTGTTACGATTATTTGGGGAAAATAAGAGGGTATGATGTGAAGGAAGGGATTTGGAAGGAGTTGAAAGGGTTGGAGGAAGAATTGCCGAGGTTTTTATGCGGTGCTACGATGGCGAATTTGGGAGGGAAGTTGATAGTTGTTTGGGAATCAAAAAATGGAGGTAGCAAGGAAATGGAGATTTGGTGCGCGGAGATTGAGGTGAAGAAGGATGAAGGAGGGGAGTTGTGGGGCAGAACTGAGTGGTCTGATGTTGTTCTTACAGTTCCTACGAGATCTTCCATTGTGCATTGTTTGGCGGTTACGTTGTGAGATTGGATGGAGGATTGTCTGGTAAAGTTTATGGTTTGAATTCTTTGATTTTTGCATTGTTGTTGTAGTAGATGTTTTTTTTCCATAAACCCAATCTTGAACCCTGGTTATGCAGATTACAAATATGTACTATTCTCTGTTGTTAACAGTCATCATGCATCCTGAAATTTCATCTAACATTTTAACCTTGTATAACTAATTACCGATTATAATCTGCATATCCAGGCACTCAGTATCACCAATTCCTTTGTTTCCTGAAAAATGGTATATTCAATATGTGGCAACTGTAAAGCTTCAGGACTTAGGATTGTGCTACATGGCTGCAGCTCATGAGTCATGTGTACCCCCTTCCTCCAATTTCTTTATCAAGACAAAATCCACCCCTTTCTCTTTGGCATGTAGATCAAATATGGTAATAGCTACCCTCTGTGGTTAACATACGCATTGTTCTTTTTGTACCTGGACTTGCCACATTTTGAATTTTTACCACTAATATCTACTTTCTGAAAAAATTAAAGATATCTGGTCAAGACACAAAATGGGATATCAAGAACATTGTTCTTGAATTATTGATGGTTATGCTGTTGTTATCTTTGTGCTATGTTGATATTTGAAAGATGCATAGTTCATACTTTTTCTGATATTAAGATGAAATTGATTTCACAAACTATTGGACCTGGACTAAGAAGGCAGTAAATTTTTCTCTTGTATTAGTCATTTTTGTCTGATTTTACATGATATCCTGTTGGCAAGGGTTAAGGCTATCTTACTGTTGCAGGCATAACTAGATTAGAAAGAAGATTTGAGGCCTTTCAGTTGATATTTACATCCCTTTCGCCATGTCCCTTCTAATTTTAGGGAGAAATTGGTGTAGTAACGTGGAGGAGTATATTGTTTTACCACCTCTTATTCATGCTACTTCTTGGCAGTTCTATTCTTAACCTCCTTGCTTGCTCGTACTGATTCATGGTCTGATAAATCAGGAAAAAACCTGTCATTTACAACCACCAAAGAATGAAACTCTTGAAGTGGGACCTATTAATACCATCTTTATTCCTATTTTTGTCAAAATTTTGCTTGTATTATCTTGGTCATCTTCTAGACTATAGCGATCAACTTTTCAAAATTTTAAAGCTATTTACTTATCACCTTGTTGATAGTTTGCTGGTTGCAATTTTCTTAGTTACCTTTTTTATGCTGTTCGTTGATGTAACACTGATGTTGTGCTCTTTACCAGGGGGAATATGTGGAGCCAGAGGGAGCAAGCTTCAGATTGAGCCCTATGAATATGATTGTGGCATTAAGCTGTTATCTCCTTGGAATGACATCGCAATGACCTGCGAAATTGTTTCTCCTTTGGCTCAGGTTACTTTTCTCAAAGCAATTTACAATTGGAAATAACAGTTATTGCCCTGTCTGAGCCATTCAAAATAAAGGGAGTTAACTACTCCTTGTGTGTCTGTTGTACAATGTGACTAGTGATTCCTTGTCGATATTGTTCCTTGCCAACTTATGCTTTGCATATGTTAAAATCTAAGAAACTTGTTGATGTTTGTCTGTAATGAATTGATGGAAGTTGGAACATATGGTAAGTTGTAACATGTTATGTGCTGATAATTATCATTTTTAATTTCTGTTAGGTCTTTTGTGCTTCATTGTAATTGAATGAACATATGGTATGATGCTAATGGGAAAAGCTCGGACCCGGAATTGCCTCATATCAATGTCTTCTGTTCGGCTTCATCTTGTATTGAATTCGAGCAATGCATGAAATCTGTAGCTTTTCTGCTTAAGTTCTGATACACAAGGTAATGGTTCATTTAAAGTAGCTTTTAGGCAGCCATGTTAGTAGACAACTCTCGCAGATGCACTATTTTCATTCCCCAAACTGTAGTCAGCTACAAGTCTTTTTACTTTAATTATATGGGTGGAAAGTAGTTAGAACCTATAAACACCTCCACTCAATGATTGTATTAAACCAATGAAGAATTGCAATAACTATGATAATCATAAAGGAATTGCTTACAAAAGCTTCCCCATTTGTACAGGGTAAATGCTGAACAGCTCCAATCATAAAAGTTTTAAGTTAATATTATTACTTTTCTTGTCATTATCTCAGAATGCCTCTACATAGAAACTAGTTCTCTTTCTCTACTGACGGGACAAAAGGATGGAAAGAAAACTATTTTCCTTCCTTTTTCCTCTTACCAAACACGCCGTTAACGAGCTGGGGGCCATGCGCACGGACCATCCATGAAGATGATTTACATTATTTCATTTGGAAAATGAAACAATTACAACAAGAATAATAAAAAAAAAAAAGGAATTTCCAGTTTGTCAATTAGCCAAAATTCATCCAACATTTCACAGAGCCCAGTTTTCACTTGGTTCAGGTTCAGCACGAAAACGCTGAAGAATGCCTTTGTCTCAATGAAACAATTATGGTTTCGTGGACCGGGCAAACATATACAACTGCACCATCATTAGCGCAATACATGTGGAATTTCACAACTTAGTTGTGTAAGCAAATGCACTGCATGGTGGCAGTGCTGCCCTAGAAAAACTAGAAACATTTGACATGCTATATATATGCTACAACTAAGATGAAATTCAAGCAACATATTTAGAGCTTTGTCCAAACTATAATCCTGCAATGGCCATGCCACCTTCTTGCTTTAGGTACCCTTCAATTTGTTCCAATGCCTAACAAGATTATAAAACCATTTAGCCAGCATCTTAATTGCATAACAGGAAAAGAGAGAGAGAGAGAGGGAGGGAGACCTCAATTGCAATCTCTGTTGGAGTAAGATCTGATACATGTGCATAACCTAGTTTGCCTGCAATTTCTGAAAAAAATTGGAACAAAATTGGGTTATTAAAGGCAAAATCATAGGCAGGAAAAAAACATAAACACTAGAGCAGCACAAGCATGAACATGCCATGTCCAATGAAGATACAAGGGGAATAGGACGGAAAAAAACAAGTAAAGAAAGAAAGCCCACGACATCACACAGTATGTTGTATCTTCAGAAAATGTAAACAAGTTGGAGGAAATGAGCACCAATGCACTCAGTTTCAGAAGATCTTGTCCAAACGTAATGACAATAGAAATATAAACCATATAAGCTTAAGACAGGTTCAAGTATACAACCTTCCAAGGAAACCCTTGCATTTGCTTTAGCATAATTTTTACCCCTCTGCTCCAAAAGATAAGACAGACGCTTCAAAGCCTGTAAAAGGGTCAAAATGTCAAAAACTCAAATGCACTAGAAGATATGATACCAAGACTAAGCAAGGAATGTAAATAAAATCAGCTATGGACTACCTTTGTATATGGATCACCAGGTTCATGATGCAAGAGGGGGCGAGAATGGGTACCTACTGCAGCAATTCTCTGTGCCAAGGCTTCCAAAGGTACATCTAACCAGACACTAATCCCCTTCTTCTGCATATAGTCCCTGATAACCCAAATAGAAGAGTTTCAGACTTTTATAGCAGACACAACAGAAAATCGAACCCATAGAGAGTAGAACCTAAATCAATTAAATTCCTCTGTACCAGTTCTGATCCCGTACAACCGCACCTCCACCAGTAGAAACAACAAGTTGTTTCTTTGAAGAGAGCCCCCGCAATACCTCAGACTGGAAAACAGGAAGAAGAATATAAAAGCTTTTATTCAATTGGAAATGTGCACATATATTAGAATGTACACAGATTAATTCTACTATCTCCTGACAAACAGATATAAGGTACAATTGGTACTGTTTCCTCAAAGTAATTATAAGCAATGGTTTAGAATAAGTGACACTGGAGACTAAAATCAGTGGTTCAACTTAGTGAAATTTGCCATGGCTCCCCTTCAGATTAGTGAAACTCACATGGTCATGTTAGCCAGAACCAACTTCAAATGTTGGTCTAATTTCCATGTCTGCAATAATTTTCTGTAACTAATGCCAGAATAGAAAGGTTCCTATTGACATGATATGTTAATTTTCATACTTTTGACATGTCAAGAAAAATTTAATTCGGTCTTCTTTACGATGGAAACTCATATCATCTGCTCCTGCATGAGACAGCAGCAGACATCATGCTTTAGTGAGACCAATACTAGTTTACAATCTTCAATAATAGAACATAAAAGCAAGCATCATTGTTGTGATAATTGCACCCTTTTAAGTATCAACCTTGTCATGTCCGTTAAGTTTTAGATAAAGAAGATAAATTAAATTAAATTTAAAATAGAAAATAAACTCAAATCAAACCAATCCAATTAAATTTCAAATAAAAAGCATTATGCCCCAATATCAAATTTCAAATAAAAATGAAACTCAAACCAACTTGATCCAAAAAGAATTGCCATGAAAATATTGACAGTTAATCCCACCCATTGTTACAGCGGCTTACTTTTTCTACATGAATTATCAACATAACTAATAATTCAAATAACATTGAAGACATGCAAGCATATTTGCATAAAGAGCGGGAGTTATCTGACTAACCTCCTTCTTTCTGAAGAAACTCTCCCCATGAAGCTTAAATATTTCAGCTACAGACATTCCATTTACCTCCTGCTCTATTAATGCGTCACTGAAAATTATAACATAAAGACATTCTTGAGACAGATATTAGAAAACCTGTTAAGAAGTCCATTAAATTGGACATTGGTAGACATCCAGGAAAGAATTCTGCTACTGCAATATTTAACCTAGACAATTATGTATCTAGAGTAGACCAAATCCCCTTTGGAAAGTGGAGTCTATTGGGAACATACCAATGCCTGAATTATTCAAATGATGCATAGTCCAAGACCCCTCCTTGGAACCAAAGAATTAATTCCACACTAAAAATTACAAAAGACCACTTGCGACACTGAGAAGAACTAGGAAATTAAAGAGAGGTGTTTGCTGTAGCTTGAGCATATTATTTTTCTTCTTTCCAGTATCTAATTGGAGAATGAACATTTCAATCAGAGGGCACACAAACCTGTCAACAAATGAATAACTGAGTACATGAGATAGAATCTTTCCCACTGTCGTTTTTCCAGAGCCCATCAATCCTGCATATTCACATTTCATAAAGTTTAGCTACCAGAGAAAGCAAGTCAGTGACTACATAAAATTGAAGGACTTGGACAAAAGAAAAACTGACCAACAAGATATACACTGTGCCCATTTAAATATGGCTCAATCTCTTGTGACTTATTCTGCAAATTTTATTCACATGAAGTAAGATACACTAGCAGAACAATTTCAGATGCACAACAAGAAAGCTTCCATTCTTAGTGTTTTAGACCTTAACTAAAAAAAATATTTAACAGATATAGATTCCAAAACACTAAATGGAAGACATAAAGATAAAACAAAATAAAAAAGTATCTAAGAACCTTAACATACTTTATGAGCCAAAAAACTAAAGATATAACAGGGTATTATTTCTTACCTTTAACATTAAAGCTTCATCATAAGGTGCACGAAAGCTTCCACTTTCCAATGTTGAGGCTACAAAATAATATTTTGAAACAAAAATTGTAGTTTTCAGTCATTTGTATATTAAATTTTCTTAATCTCATAGTCGATTTAAACACCTGGGCTCAATTCAAGTATGTGTATTTGGAAGAGATGGGGGGAAATAGGGATCCTAGGTTTTGAGTTGTGATGCTCTCCTTTTGGATCAAAATCTCAACATCAACATACTAATGGCAGTTTCATCCAAAATCTCTTATACTTAGCAGAAAAGTGAGAAAATGAAGGAGATTGGCAGAAAAACAGAAACAAAAAGCATTCTGCTCATACTTCAGAGTAGATGAAAGTGAAAGAAAAGACAATAGGTGAAAAGAACTATTTCTATCTAGGCTCACAAAACCAATATAACCAAATCAGGTGGGTTATGAGAGAGCAAATGAAAAAAAATGGGCAAGTTGTAAATTTACAGTGTCATTCCATCAAATATTCAAATTTTCTTTCCTATAATTTCTCTACCTGAACAGAAAAGGGCATTAAAATTTCTTTCCTCTCTATTTTCCTTTCCTGTTTAGACCAAGGACGGTACTGAAAGAAATAAAAAAACAAACTTTCTTTTTTCTTTCCTTTCACTTTTCTATCAATCCACCTTTCTCTTCTCCCTTGTCAAGCAAGGCCTAACAGTTGGACTAAAAAATGACTATTATTTGGTGAAACATTTCAAAGACACAGAAATGATGATTGTCTTGTTTCAAGCTTTCTGATTAAAAATTGGATTTGAATTCAAAGCATCTGCATCTCCAAACAAGGAAAACAAAATCCTACTCATAAAATTCTCTTTCTTCCTTTTTATTTCCCAATTTGATACCATAGATTTTGCTCAATTTAAGAAATTCCAGCATATCATAGAACAAAATTAGTAAAAAAAAAAAAAACTTTAATAACTTAACAAACATTGTAAAATATGATAAATGAACTTATAACATGATTAAAAACAGTAATAATTTATTTTAATTTTTCCATTTAAGCACCTGAAAAGTTCTTGTAAGAAGAGCAGGAAACCTCGAAAGAGACTGATCTATTCCGACTAGAAGACGCCTGAACCGGAAAGTGAGCCGAAACAACCACCCGTACCTTCTGGTCTTCCCATAGTCTCCGACCGAACCGCAAAGAACCGGTCGGTTTTCTCCCAAAACTTTCCGACTCAATCCATGTCGGATACTGCAAGTACCGTGCAACTCCTGCCTCCATTATCAACCTCCAACCGCCCTCGATTTAATCAATTTCAATAAATTCTCCGACAAATTCTTAGTTCCTTTTCTTTGTTAAAAAAAAAACAAAATCCAGAAAATTTCGGATTCAATTCAAGAGAAAATTCACGCACTGCAGGAATAATCATATATATTAAATAATAAATAATAATTAATCTAACAAAATTAAGAAATTGAATTTCAATGGGAGCTCACGTACCTCAAAAAATAAATAGAGAAAATGAATTGTGAAGAGCGTTGCCCTCTGACTCTCTGGTAAGCGGTAAGCGCTTCTTTTTTACTAAAATTATTTTTATATAATTTCTTCAATATGCAATTTGTTTCTGGCATTGATCGTTGGCTCATTTTAAAATGGGGGTTTTGGACTTGGAAACACTGTGCAGAATTTTTTTACAACTTGGATGTAATAAATTTTTAGATATAATAATTAATAAGAAAATCTTTTGGAATTATGGTTTTTTTTTTCTATAAAAGAAAAAGAAGATAATGTGGCGATGATGACGTGGACGGAGGGCATTCCCACCAACCTCCGTGACGGGATGAGGGGGTTTGGTGGCAACTACTAAACTTGCACAAGAAACGAGTGGAGGCAGTGAGAGAGGGAAGGTAAGGGGTGACATCCATGTGCAAATTATTCAGGGGTAGTTGTTACGGATTCTCGTTCTGCCACGTGTCTAAATTTGGGATACTATTATTTTGACCGGATGTTCCTACATTTTCACTGGGATCGAGTCATGGTCCATGGCCATGCGGTGGCCGACAATTTTGTTTTTCTGAGATTGGAATTAAGTTTTATGATCGGATCACTTAGGTAAATACATTATTGAATTATATGCTCAGATGTGATAAACAATAATTAATTAAAGGATTGAAAGTTATGAGCTATTATCTGTTGGATATTTTTAACAATAAGATTTAAAGAAAGAAAATCTTTTAAACAATCATAATTGTTCAGGAGTTATTTAAATAAATAATTATGTTTGTTGAAAAATAGATAATTATGTACATTGAACATAGATAGTTGTGCTTATTAGGAAAAGTCATCTTAGTAATAAATGAATTCCCTAATTTTATGAAAAAACAAAAAAAGTTAAACAATTTGTAATCATTCACTTCAAATTCTTTTTAGATTATTTAGTAATGTTTTGTTGCAGAAATATTTTATAAAAGCTTGATTATATTATCATATTTTAAGAAATACTCAGTAAATTGATTTTATCAAAATAAATTACAGTTAATCATTAAATTTTATTATATTTTTTATATTTATATGTCTATAACTCTTTTACCCATTATAATTAAGTGAATAAAAATTTAATGACAATAATATTGATACACACCTTAAAGCCATTTCCCTAATATTTTCTATTTTTCAATTGTGTTTTAACTATATTTATCATATTGAGCAGGTTAATGATTAAAGATTATACTTAATTGTCTAAAATTATAATTAAAAAATAATGATAATATATTTAAATTATACATTTTTAAGAATAAAAAGTGACATAATAGAAACTCTTGAATATTAAAATAAATAAATAAGTTTTTATTTTCCCATTTCATCTAATTAATTTTGTATAATTTAATTTTAAACTAAATATGTTATTATAACTAATTAATTATTAATTAATTATCATTTTTAACTGATGTAACATAATATAGAGTGAAATTGCACAAAACAACATCATTATGTTGTATTAACATATCAAATTATCATTTATTATAACATGTCAGGTCAGTGTTATGTGATATAAATTAACAAATCATATGAAGGTTATGTAATATTTTGATTAATGATAATTAATAATAAATGTTTATTTTATTTAAAATAAAATATAAAATATTGATTGAATGTAATTAAAATATAATAATTTTTTAAAAAATTTAAAAAATTTTCAAATATTATATCATAAAAATTTAAAATGTTTTGTTCGGATAAGTCAAAATAATATAATTTCAAACTTTTTATCATTTTTCTCATGATAAATAGGGATTTTTTTTATTTTCAAAACTAGTTTGAAGTGGTCCTTAATCTAGAACGTCTATATTATATTGTGTCGCACATTGTTTCAATCCGAATTGCTTGGGTGAATAAATTTTGTGAAGTGCCCTCAATTTTGCGCAACGCATATGGTAATGATCAAAGAAGTTTTAGATTTTTTTTTCTTTATATTGTCTAAATTTTTAATTAAAAAGTTACTATAATTTAAAGTATATTGATTTTAACATACAAGGTGTTAAAGTCATTTTATATATTTTAACGTGGGTTTTAAAATAAAATTTTAAATTTATTTTCTTTGAGTTTGTGTTTTTAATTCTTTTTCGTCTTCTTTTTTCTACTTCATTTATTTCAATAAATTGTTGATATTTTCAAGTTTTCGGTGTCATTCGTTATTTCAGATCTCCTTTTCTCTTTTGTTTTTTTTTTTTCCAATTCTCTCATGGTTTCTATTGTTGTTGTTTTTTTATTTTTTTTTCATATCTTTCTGTTTTTTTAATTTATTTAAAAAAATTTTAATTAGACTTTGAAGGTTTCAAATTTTTTGTTAGCGTTTTATTTTCATTAGATGTTTTGCTCTTAATTTTATATATATATATATATTGGTTTACAGTTTCAAGATGCCAGAAGTAGTCGCTAAACCCGTCTTTATAAGTAACTAAAACTTGATATTCATGATTCACTTGGTACAAAAAACTTAAATTGATTCCATGAATAAATCAAGAACAATTACGGGTTCTGTAAACTCTAAAACTTGGTGCAAAAAATCTTAAAATAAATTCAATAAACCCTTAAACTGAGTCAATAAATTTAAACCGATTTAATAAACTTTTAATTTGATTGAAGAAACCTTTCAACTTGTCTTATTCGATTCGATTAAAAAAAATCTTAAATTCAATTTAAAAAAACCTTAACTGATTTGATCTAGTTCAACAAACCCTTAAACCAATTTGATGAATTATAAACTTGGTTTAAAAAACCTTTAAATCGATTCAATTCAATTCAATAAACTCTAAAATCAATTTAACACAATCCCCAAACCTAATTGATCTTGTTCATCAAATCTTAAAATTGATTTAACAAACCCTAAAATCAATTTAACAAATCCTAACTCAATTCAAAAAACCCTTAAATCAATTCGATTGGATTTGATGAAATCCTTAAACCAATTTAATCTAATTCAATGAACCATAAAACTAGTTCAACAAACTTTAAACTCAGATTCAAAAAACCCTTAATTCTGTTCATAAAACTCTAAAATCAATTTAAAAATCTTTTCCTCAATTCAAAAAAGTTTAAAATCAATTCAATGTTTCCTAAAATCCTAATTATAATGCTCAATAGTTGTTTTAAAAAAAATATTTTTAATTTTTTTTTAAGAAATACATAAAGATTTAAATTTGGCATAAAATTTAATACAATGAAATGGAAAGGACAATAGAGATAGTGTTCATGGCATTGAGACCTCTCTTCTCGACACCACCTCCGTTCATAACACCCATACTCCCCTTTGACTGGATGACCATTACCTCTGCCTTAGCCTTCGTCGCTGAGTACGAATTATGCTGGAAAATAAAAATTAAAAACTGAATCATTGCCAATGAAGATTCCGTGAACCCTATAAAAAACGACAGTGGGCGAGGTCGTGTAGATAAGCCTCAATAACAGTTTTAGCCACTGCAAATTGCAATCAAAATATAACGATAATTAAACAAAAATTCAAATGGATTCCGAAACTCTGAAAGTATAGTTTTCCTCGAACGATTACCCAATGATGAGGCTGGTAATTATTAATCCACGGTTAGGAGCCGCCTTGTGGAGAACTGCCTCGACTCCTTCCAAAGCTACAACAAAAATTAAAAACAATTTAATAACTAGAGTGGAAATAAATGCGAGTTTTGAAATAATGGCAGACCTTTTAGTACTTGAGCTTTGCGGCCAAGATCAGTGGACGCGCAACGATCACAACCCTAACGTCAAGCTTCATCGAGGAGTCCGTTTTCCTCGTACGTTTCGAGGTCATTGCTAATAGGCAAATCGGCGATTGAAGAGTGAACATCTTGTATTTGATTAGCATTTCAACCAAATGACGCCGCCCGTTACCACGCACCATCTCTCCTCTCCCAACATTTTTCCACGCCCCATCTCCTTTCCGTACTTTCCTAAAAAAAATTTATAATTTAAAATATGAAATATAAAATTTTAATCAGTTAATTTATTTTATTTTAAATTACAATTTAGAGCACAAGAAAAAAAATGCTCGGAGTAATTCTTGAAATTACTTATCTCCAAAATTCTTTATTTAAATATAAAACATTTATTTTTCCTACTGCAAATCTTCAATTGAAAAAAGTATAAGATTTAAAGAGTTTTTAAATTATTTAAAAATTTTAAATAATTTTTTATTTTTATTATATTTAATTAATTTTTTATATTTTTATTTTTGAGTAAAATTAATTTTTATAATTAATGATATTAATTAAAATATTATTTTATATTATAAATTATTAAAATAAAATATTAATTTATATTGATATGACATGATAAAATGATCACTTGATATTTTTTATTTTTCATATTAATGTCACATGTAAATAAAATAATATATTGATATGAAAATAAAATAATATGTAATATTTTAATTAATAATTAATTATAAAAATTTATTTTAAAATAAAAATACATAAATTTAATTAAATATAATAAAAATAAAATTTTATTTAAATTTTTTAAATAATTCAAGAAGCTTCAAATCTTCCATGGGTAGGTCACGTGTTTGGCACGAGGTTAAACTCCATTGGACCGTTAAGGCTTGAAATTGAGAAGGAAGTTTCTATTCTCCCTCCAAGAAAATGAGAAACCATTACCTGTTAAAACTACATTTCAAACACATTCAAAAATCAACAAATAAACAAGCCTTTAATTTCTCGACATTAGTCTCAGCTCTTCTTCCACCAAGAGACCCATGCTTTTCCCCTATTGTACCCCGACTCAAAAGGCGCCAATTGGCCAACCTCCTCCAAAAACTACCTTCCCAAGACAATCCTATTTTACACTACAAACGAATCCATGCCCAAATTATCGTTTCTGGGTTGGAATCCGACACCTTTCTTACAAACATTCTCTTGAATCTTTACTCAAAATGTAATAATTTACGCCACCCGAGTAAACTGTTTGATAGAATGCCTGAAAAGAACTTGGTTTCTTGGTCTTCGATGGTTTCCATGTATACCCAACATGGGTACGATGAAAAGGCGTTGATTTTGTTTTTGGGCTTTCGAAGAAGTTGCGAAGAGAGTCCAAATGAGTATATTTTGGCTAGTGTCATTCGAGCTTGTATACAGTTGCGGGATGGAGGTGAAATGGGAGTTCAGATTCATGGTTTTGTATTTAAGAGTGGTTTTGATCAAGATGTTTATGTGGGGACTTCGTTGGTTGATTTTTACACGAAAAGTGGGTTTATATATGAAGCGAGATTGGTTTTTGATGGTTTAAAGGGGAAGAATGCGGTGACTTGGACGACAATGATAACAGGGTATGTTAAGAGTGGGAAGGGTGATGTGGCATTGCAGTTGTTTAACCAAATAAGAGAAACTGATGTTGTGGCAGATAGATATGTGCTGTCTAGTGTTTTGAGTGCATGTTCAGTGCTTGACTTTGTTGAAGGAGGAAAGCAGGTCCATTGCCATGTTTTGAGGAGGGGAGCAGAAATGGATGTTTCCGTCATTAATGTGCTTATAGATTTTTATTCTAAGCGTGGTAAGTTAAAAGCTGCACGCAGGCTTTTTGATGAGATGGTGGTTAGAAATGTTATTTCTTGGACTACAATGATTGCTGGCTACATGCAAAATTCATTTGACAGGGAAGCTATGAAGCTGTTTTCTGAGATGACCAGATTGGGTTGGAAGCCAGATGGCTTTGCTTGCACTAGTGTTCTCACGTCATGTGGTTCACTCGAGGATCTTGATCAGGGGAGACAAGTGCATGCTTACACCATCAAGACCAATCTTGAGTCTGATGATTTTGTAACAAATGGTTTGATAGATATGTATGCAAAATGCTATTCACTGAATGATGCAAGAAGAGCGTTTGACATTATGGGTGATCAGAATGTGGTCTCATATAATGCGATGATTGAAGGATACTCAAGTAAGGAGAAGCTATCTGAAGCATTGGACTTGTTCCACAACATGAGACTCAGGTCATTCTCACCAAGCCTTTTAACTTTTGTTAGCCTTCTTGGTGCATCAGCTGCATTATGTACCATAGAACTGAGTAGGCAGATTCATACCCTTATCATCAAATTTGGGGTATCTTTGGACATATTTGTTGGAAGTTCTCTAATAGATGTTTATTCAAAGTGTTCATATGTTAGAGATGCAAGATATATATTTGAGGAGATGAACGAGAAAGATATTGTTGTTTGGAATGCATTGTTTTTTGGCTATACGCAACAGTTGGAAAATGAAGAGGCTCTCAAACTCTTCTCCAAATTACAACTATCAAGACAAAAACCTAATGAATTCACGTTTGCTGCCTTAATGACAGCTTCAAGTAACCTAGCGAGTCTCCAACATGGTCAACAGTTTCACACTCAGCTGATAAAACATGCTATGGACTCTGATCCCTTTGTCACAAATGCCATTATTGACATGTATGCTAAATGTGGAAGCTTTGAAGATGCTTGTAAAACATTTAATTCTGCCATTTGGAGGGATGTTGTGTGTTGGAATTCCATGATCTCAACATATGCTCATCATGGTGAAGCTGAAGGAGCTCTTGAGATATTTGAAAGAATGCTTAAAGAAGGAATCAAACCCAATTATGTAACATTTGTTGGTCTGCTCTCAGCATGTGTGCATGCAGGGTTTGTAGAGCTTGGACTCCATCACTTTGAGTCAATGTCTACATTTGGAGTTGAAGCGGGGATTGAACATTATGCTTGTGTGGTATCTCTGTTGGGCCATGCTGGTAAATTATATGAAGCAAAGGCCTTAATTGAGGCAATGCCAATAAAAACTGCAGCAGTGTTATGGAGATCCTTACTTAGTGCATGTAGGATTGCTGGTAATGTTGAATTGGGAAAATATGCAGCAGAAAGGGCAATTTCAATTGATCCAATAGATAGTGGTTCATATACTTTACTTTCAAATATTTTTGCATCTAAAGGTATGTGGGCAGATGTTAAGAGGGTGAGGGAGAGAATGGACTTAGAAGGTGTACTTAAAGAACCTGGGTGTAGTTGGATTGAAGTTAATAATGAGACTAATGTGTTTATTGCAAGGGATAGAACTCATCACGAGGCCAATTTAATATACTTAGTTCTGGACAATTTGATTATGCATATCAAGGGTGCTGGATATGTGCCTGATATTGCTAACACTCCTGATAAATGATTGAGATGAGATCTGGTGGGAATAGCATAACTGACAAATGGATTCTTTGAAGTTCTTTGTTATGCAGCTCATCCTATATATCGAGCTTCAAGTGACATATTATGCATAATAAGGGGCTTGATATGTGCCTTTTATTGCCAAACTCTTGATACAGAGTTGGGATGACCTTGTGCCTACAGTGTAGCTGACAAATAAGTTTGAAGTTCTTTGTTATGCAGCTCACTCTAAAAACTGAGCTCAAAGGGACATCTAGCAGACTACCAGACTTTAGTATCTTTTGGCAATTCAAAGTTGTTGCTTTGAGATATAAGCTGGTGCAATTTCTCAATCTTTTAGGGTGTGCTATCAAGGGTGTTTTACTTTCCTTGCTTGGCAGCCATGGCCATCTGGATGCGGCTAGAGTAGTTTAAATGCAGAGATGCTGCAATTACCTACTGATGGAATTACTACTTCAGAGAGGATTTGAGGAATTAATAATAGGTAAGTTGGATGAACTTGCTAAAAGGATCTTAAGTGTAAACTTTCATTTTTGTATATATTCGCTGAGTTCCTAGTAGCTGATGAGGGCTGGATTGCTAAGCTTAGGTATGCATTAAAGAATTCCATTTTGGTCATTTATAAGTCTACTTGAAGGTCATGGCCTTCATAAACAGGTCAAATTGCCCCTTTTTCTTGCTACTTTATTTGGTGTGGGAAAAAAACAAAGACAAGGAATCTGAATTTGGATTTGTTTAATTTGATTTTCATAATGGCCTAAGGATTGGAGAAGAGAGGGGCTTTAGAAAGAAAGTTTTGTTCTTCACAGATGAGCAACAAGGAGGTACACAAAACACGTTGGTACTCACTGCCCTTGCTTAACTTAATTATGTCCACATTGTTTTATGTATTTGATCATTACTTTCCACTAATTTGTGAGCTCAAGGTTAAAATAGCCAAAGAGGAAGAAAATTCTGAGTTTGTTGGATGTATATATGATGGGACTATAAGGATAAGACTTGCTGAACTTAGACTTTCAAAGTCAAGGTATCAGAATGAGTGCAAAAGTAGTGCTTCTGTGGCAGTTCAAGTGACCTTTTATTACTGTTATTTTTTGAGTATTGCTCGAGAAAATAAAGATGGATATTGATTATTCTTTTTCCATTTAAACAAAGCAGAATACTAACATAGCCTCTTTGGTATACAATGAAAACAGTTGTCATCTATTCGTTACTTTATGTCCTTATCTATCTGAATTCTTGATGTCCCTCAACCCTATGTTTTAGCAGAAGTAGTGTCTTCTTTCCATTCGGTTAGATCTATGAGTAACAATAGTCATTGGAGATAGAGTTAGAATTACAAGATGATGTAATGATATTGTAGGTTCAGCTTTGACGTAAGTTTGTTCTTTGATTGGTTTTCTTAGTATCAATCACATTGTTTTGTTTAATTTGTCTATTTTATTTCACAGTTGTGGCTTTCTGTCCGTACTGATGTATTAGAAAAAAAAAAAAAGCCTTCAGTATCTTTGCAACTTTGTCAAAATGTCCGCTGAAATGATGATGGTTAGCGTGCATGTTGTCCTAGGAAGAAATTTTGGGCTTGAGTGGTGATAATTCTTGCTGTTTTGAAAAGGGTCTTGAGGCATTCTTGTTAAAACACAAACTCAGTAGGCAATATCAAAATACAAGATGGTTGACTTTGTATAGGGTTAAAGTAGTAATGAAAGTGAATCTAGTTTTCTCCTTATTTCTGGGACCTGTTTAACCTGAGCCTTGCTTATTTAAAGGATTGATTCTACCAAGTGAATTAAATTAGACTTTTAGACAAGATCAACGGTTCCTTACTTCCTTTAGTAACTCAAACCCCAACTCATTTTTTTTTAATTAGTAATAATAAAAGACTATTCTTTCAGGCAAAGCACAAACCAGACTGCATAGAGATATGGCTGTTGAGAGAACTTAGGATTCGTAGCTGTCCACTAATAACCAGAGATGACAAAAAGAAGCCAAAGATGAAGTCAATCTGCCAGCATATTTTTAGTTTGAATTATATCAAAGCTGATAATCTTTCTCCTAGAATTTTCAAGTTGGAAGATTTCAGGACACCATCTTTGGAGAATGGACTATATATAACGAATTGAAGACCTGTAATCCAGCTGCTTACTAGACCTGTCAAAATGGGCTTGGTCCGTTGGGCCAGCTCATTTTTTTAAAATATGAGATGGACCGGGCTTAAAAATTTAAGCCCGTTTTAAAATCGAGCCAGCCCGACGG